AGCGACACTGACATCAAACAGCCTCGTCGATAGCAGAATCACGTTCAGTCACTAGGAGTTTTGGCCACATTGCAGCGTCTGGGCCGGAGACGCGACCCGTCAATTGGGCCCCGTCGCCGCCCTCCGCATACTTATCACCTGCTCCTCGGACTAACAGCACCTCTGTCAGATCATCGCCGGGCCACAGCGACTCCTCCCTGGCTGCTGACGACGGTGGCGGCGGGCGGGCGGCCGCGGGCGCGAGATTCGGACCTGCCGCCGCCGCCGCCGCCGAGACGATCAATCGAGGCTGTTGGGTCTGTGCGAACAGCTACAGGGCTGACCCGGCGGCCGGTATCGCCCCGTCAGCTGCTGGTCACGGCGGAGAACAGAGCCGAGCGGTTACAACAGCCGAGCCGAACTACCCCCACAGTCGAGCCGTTACCACAGCGAACGGACGTAGGTACAGGGTGAGCCATAAAGATTTACCCATCGATAAATTCACTTTATTTCCAAACGGGTTGGCGTAGGTATGCCATCTTTTGCATATATGTCGCAAATTTGTCTCCAATCATGACAGTGTAGCTCATTTTGTATATGCTCGTCCACTGTCTCTGCTACGCTCCTGAAATGCGAGGTCGTCTTAAAGCACATCCGCCGCTCCTGAAATTCAGGAATCACCACTGGGTGTTGGCTGCTGAACACTCCTTGGTCTAAAGAATGCTGGGCACAATATATCCCCGACTTCAGCCCCACGGGCTTCGCAAACTGAAATATCCTGAAAACCCGACTCTACCGAGTCCCTGAAACACCGCAAATGACATACGGCGCAGCATTGTTATAGCATGGGTGACCGAGGAAAATAAGTGAAAAGACGGTGCGGCGGCCGCGTGCCATAGTGCTCTTGCGTCTCCGGCGCGTAACATAAGAAGAATGCAAGCATACAGAAAACAGACTACATTTATTAGTTACGAGATGACGTTGTTATATGTATGTAAAAGATGACATAGCTATGTCAGCGCGCCTTGAAACAAAGTTAAATTTTCGATGGGTAAATCTTTATGGCTCACCCTGTATAGGACACGGAGCGAGGGGAGGTGGTTAAACCTGCTGACTGCTGAATCAGTGGCTCAGGGAAATGGAGACTGCGTTACGAATGGTGAAGAGGCAGAGCGAGAGAGAGAAAGAGAGAAAGAGATAGAGAGAGAGAGAGAGAGAGAGAGAGAGAGAGAGAGAGAGAGAGAAAGAGAAGAGAAAGAGAAAGAAACCCCTTAACTATTAGAACTTTTGCAATACTGACGCAAGATATACGCCCATCATGATATGGACTTCTAAAATTTTCAGAAACAAAACTACAACCCTGGGGATTTCGTCTGATCGAGGGTATTTGCCCGCGCTGCCCAGAGAGACCTTTCTAAGCGCAGCACTCATTGCTGGAGATGATGCCTCGCCGAATCAGAGTCTGTGCTGCTGATCGGCAGTTACTGGCAGTCGGCGCTTTACGTGTTCAGAAGCTATATGATTGGTCTACTGACGTCATGAGCTCAGCTCAAGTCATCACCAGTAATAGCTGATACTGATAGTGAGACATATTGAACATCAAAGCCGAAAGCTTGGGAAGCTGGCTCCACTTTGGTCCTCCATTTTGCCCGGGTATTGCGGTTTGCGGAGCCCAAAACAATATAATGTTCAGCTTGCGCATTTTTGTTAGGCCTGTTTGCTATTTTCATTTCGGGCCTCGGAATGCAAGTAAGACACTCGTCCCATATTCGCTTGAAATACAGCCAGATTTAGGTGCCTACCATTCGAGAACCAACTCCCGAATGTGTATGGATTCAGTTCATACATCGTCATTCATTCATCTATTCATTCATCAATTCATCAATCCATCCATTCGTTTAATCCATCAAGGTATCCATCTATTCATTCATTCATTCATTCATTCATTCATTCATTCATTCATTCATTCATTCATTCATTCATTCATTCATTCATTCATTCATTCATTCATTCATTCATTCATTCATTCATTCATTCATTCATTCATTCATTCATTCATTCATTCATTCATTCGTTCGTTCGTTCGTTCGTTCGTTCGTTCGTTCGTTCGTTCGCTCGCTCTCTCGTCTGTTCGCTAGTTCATTTGTTCATTCATTAATTCAAAATACAATCAAACGGTCTTCTTTGTTATGTGTTCTCCGAAGCTACTTCACAGGTTTAAGCTTACCAAACTAAGCGTCAAATAAATATATGTGCAATGTGCATGGCATGTTCGGCATTTGTCCTATAGCTGAAAAGTAAAATGCTAATGGCCCAATTGAAGACAAGCATTGTCCACGCACCGACGGTCGATAACAATAGAAATAAAAAATTGAAGAAAGACGGGACAGTTTACTTTCTTATTGTATACAACATTTCATTCATGGGTGATAAGCAAAAAGCCAGACGGAAATTATTATATTTCCTCAGCTGCACTTGTGAGTAAAAAGAAAAAAAATCCAGAAATTTATCTAAAATGCTCGTTATGATCTACTAACTCATGATCACTCCTAACCTAACTTCTAACTCTATATAAAGAGAAAAATCCGTAACTACGCCTACGCTTCCAAATGCTTTATTATGAGGCATAACTTATTTCGGGTATTTCTTATTACTTCTGCTTCTTAGATTGGGTAGATACTTATCTCATCAGCAAGTTACTAGCTTACCGACGTAAGCCAGTGGAGATGCCCCCTAACCCTAAATAACGTTGTGAGATTCACTTACAATCGTTATTGCAAGACAAACGGAAATTGCGTAACGATCACAAGCATTTCTCACTTCATCATGACTACTGTTGCTCACATTCATGCAAACATCGGGGGAGCTCTTTAGGAAGACACTTTCCATGCATTTTGAAGCACTGTTCGATGGCTGCAAAAACAAATTTTTCAGCATCTCTCTCGAGCGGAAGAGGGTGGCAGGTGGTAGACATTCCGTTCCGCTGCTCGCGTAGGTATCCCGGATGGGGCCGTTCGCCCTTTACCGCGCGGTCTCCGTGTGGCTGTTGGCAGCCTTCTCCTCAGAGCCGCCCTCAAATGAAGGTCAATGTGCGGCACAACGTCGCCGGATAGGATGCATAGCTGGCCATGGCCTTGGTCGTGACATTCAGCTACCAGAACTCACGCCAGCCACATATCTCCCTCACCTAATTGATATTCCAATAATTTTTCTCTCGTGAAACCTGTGCCCTGCCGTCATCTAAATATCAGTAACGAGCCCTAAAACACAAGGATCTAACACAGGGCATATTCACTCCATTACTGCACATAAAACCCAGCCACATGGCTCCGGATGTATCACAATGACCCAAAAAGCCACTGGCCTCACTCACCTGTCATGACTGCTGCGCGCGAACAAAAGCCGGCCGGTGGTGAGCCGCGGGGGCCGGGGGCTCTCAATGGTCTCGGCGGCCGGTCGGGGTCGGTGTCACTGCCGGAGCGCGGCGGGGGGCCGGCGGTCCGCTCCTCTGGGGTCAGACACACTGCGGGACGAGCTGTCCGGCGGCGGCCGACTGCATGGGCCCACCGCGGTCACCGCGCTACGAGGCCGACCGGATGAACGCGTACCAGATGATACAGGTCACCACACAGATGAATATGAAAATGAAGAACACCACCAGGAAGACTCGCCATGGCTCCATGGGCGCGGCGCGGCGGACAGCACGGGGCGCCACTCAGAGGCCGGGCGGCGCGGCGCAGCGCGGGGCGCCGCCTCCCGTGCGGCCGAGCTGAGCGCAGCGCGCGGCCCGCCCGCTGCCGAGTCCACACATGGTGCCGCTGGCTGCGCCGCCGGACCGACACTGCCACCACCACCACCTCCACCGCCGCCGCCGCCGCCGCCGCCGCCGCGCGGTTCCCGAGGGAATCGATCGTTTTGGAGGGCGGCGGCGCGGCGCGGGCGGACCGCTCTCTGGGCCGCCTCTCGTGGTCGGCCGGCTCGCAGTGGCTGACCGGGCCGTCAGCGGGCCGCCCCATGTGGTCCCTGCAGCCAACAGGCTGACCTGGCGGACCTCAGCGGACCTCAGTGGACCTCGGCGGACCCCAGCGGCGCGGCTCCGCTCGACCGGCAATGGAGACGGCTCGGCGACGGGCGACGCAGAAATGTAGTGAGACAGAATGACAGCGACGTAGGATAAAGAGACGTCAGGCGTTGGAACAAGGGAGACGGGCGCAGTGAGCCGACTTGGAGGTGATCGTGTCCACACGGTACGCGAGATAAAACACCGGTGAACGTGGGCCTAATGCAGAGGAAACAGCGTTGTTGGCGCCCGCTGTCCAGTGTGCCCATGTCCGGCAGTCTCGGAAAATCGGCTTTGTCCCTAATACTGCAAACCCTCGCGAGCCCTCGCATTTTAGACTGCACGCAGAACGGATTATGTCTATCCTTATAGTGTATGCCTGAGGGTAGAAAGGCATGGCCTACTGCAGCGTTTTGAAACTACTGAAGCAACTTCGTTCCGGGCTTCTGAAATACGTCGGCAGAATATTTTCTAACGCAAAGCGGCTTTGAGGCGCTGAGTGCACATTTCAGAGGTGTGTCACGCTGCTTGCTTGTAAGTCGTCCTGTACGGGTGAGTGATACATTTTTGACATCGCATAGCACACGGAACGTGTGAAATATTTACACGCAATAATCTCGGTATTCTGTCTTTACATGAAATACGATTTAAGGTCTGTAGCTGCCAAAGGCCTCAACAAAAATGGATACCGTCTACCTCTACTTCTTTGGTCGTTATAACTAGGTGGTCGTTGCGTAAATTTGGTTGACTCAAGTGTGGCTCAAGCATTTGTACACGAAAAATAAAACTCACCCTAGGTACATACAATATAAGTATTCAAATAAATCTAAAATAAGCGTAAAAATAAAATAGATCCCCCATGCCTAAGTAAAATAGCTGGGCATCCGTTATAAACAATCTTCTTTTTTTAGAAAACCCTGTTGGATGAATAAGTTTATTGAACTTCAAACATATAGCAGAGATTCACAGCTTGATGGAACGAGCAATAATTTAAAAGTTAAAAAACACCAATACAGATACAACACTGCGGACAGTACACATGTGAAAGCGAGCAAAATGTGGCGTGCGCGCTTGTCAGTCAAAGCATCGGACACATAACAAGAAACGGATGGCTGATCTAAATACAAATACTTTAAAATCGGATAAGGTACTCTTGCGCGGGGACCCTCAGAGTCCGGTCCCTAACATCCGTACATTAGTTCCCGCCTGCGGTCAACACTTCATGCAACAGCACGGGTCACTGCGCTGCCGACGGCTCAGAAATTGCAACAATAGTCAACAGCGCTCAAAGGGAGTCAGTCCAAGCAGTCCAGTCAGTCAAGTCAGTCCAACTATATATGGCCTTGAGTCCAAGGCTCATAACAAATGATTCGATCGAAACAATATTCCTACAGTCAAAGGCCTAACAATAATTTGCAATCTAGGTGAATGTTTTTTGAGCCATTTCAATGCGTCGCACATATGTACTAAAATTAATTTCAAATATTCTCAACCAGTCAGGGTTTCATAGCTAATCATGAAGGCTATCAATTGTTCGAACGTGACCCACCGCTGAATACTGACGGGGGTAGGACACAGGCATTCGAGGGTCCGAGCAAAAGGTTCAACATTGAGTCACCTCGGCACCAGGTGCAAGAGTGGTTATGACGGGGAGCGAAGCCCCTAATACTGGACCCGCCTGACGGGAGCAAGGGCCCTGGGGCTGGCAAAACCCCTGAAGGGGATGGGGCCCTGAGGCCGTCCGAGGGCCCTGTCACCACCAGGCAACATCTGAGTGAGCGGGGACACACGACAGGCCTATGGACGTGGCGGAGTGGGTGCTACACAGCGGGATCCACTGCTGGGTGGTGAGCTGATGGGTATTGCTGGGGCAGATGGCGATGAGATGAGACACAGACCGGGTCGGGCACGCGCTCGGCCGGACAGGGCCGGCCGCGTGCACAGACACCTGGTCAAACGTTGGACACGGGACAGGTACACAGTTGAGGAACACAGTGATCCCTGAAACGGTCGGACGCGGGCCGACGTCGAGCTGACGAGGAGCTGCACAGAGCCGGGTGAAATGGACACGGGCTCAGACACGGAAAGCTGGCGATAAGGAGACGGGAAAAGTGAACAGTGATCAATGAACAGGGTCGTGTGTACGGTTGTTTGCTTGTCAGTTTAGCTTCTAATGGCATGTTATCATTAATAGGCTGAAAATATACGCAAACTGTGATTTCGTTTACTTTGTTCACGGGTAGTGTTTAACAATGTAGTGACCAAGTCGATGCACCAGAAGGAAGTTTGATAAGAGTCCGAAATACAAAATATCTTCTTTGTAGTAAACCCAAAAGCAAACAGAAACAGAAACCCAAGCCAGCCTTGATATACAGGCCAGCGCGGAGCCATTCACTGAAAATACACGAGCCTACGAAGCGCATTGCGAACGGATTTTTAATTGAGCATCGGCCGCTATTCCGGTTCCAATGTGCATTTACTTTGCTCTTGTCTGAAACAACTGAATGATAAGAAGAGCATGATCCATTGTGTATGGTACCATGTCTAAATATGTTCACAGAAAATATAACAGCATGGCTTTCTCGTTCAACTTTGCGCATTTAATAAAATGACTTTGTCATTATCTTCATCAGGCAGGAGGACAGCTACGACAAAATATAAAGACCTAACATGCTAGTCACATAAATGCCCATTGCCTAAGCCATAAAAATAAATCATTGGAATGCCTTTCATTGAACCAACAACCTCACACCCGAACAACTGTCCTTCATTCTTCCAACTTCCAAGAATAGGACATCCTACTTATCTTACAAGTATCAAAACCGAGCCACCGTAATGCCTACACATTCTAACATAACAATAGAAAAGTAGTTGTTTCATTTGTGCCACTGCATGCACTACAGCCGTGTCGCCGGGGCCGGTGGCTGCACGTGGGTCCTCACAGACACACCCGGCCACAAGTAAAACACAGGGAACGGGAACTGGAATCGAACGAGCCAGTGCACGGTACATTATGTACAGAACGACTATGTACAGAGTGCGACTGTCGGTAAACGATCCACAGCGTATGTAATCCGCGAAAGTACGCGGTGCAGCTATCGACCATGCAGCAGACACATGTGGTGGTTTATCTCAACGATATGCTGAGGGCTAGTGTCAGATGAGGGGAGAGGTCACATGAAAAGCAATGAGCGCACTTTAAAAACAGGCATACGAACTCATCGCATGCATATGTACAAATATACATCCCGACGCAACAATTAGTTGCCATGCCGTCTACGTGCAAAGCATTCTAGAATAGTTTTCAACTTCAGTTGAAGTGAACAGACATCGTGGCTTTACACTCAAAAGCCGCGATTTTCAAACAAATAACGACGTCGGAGGATTCTCAATCTCCGGAAAAAAGTCATTCAGAGTGTTAGTGCAGGGTAGTTGATAACATACCTTCCGTCATATAGAACCAGCTATCAACAGATAGCGCTACCATTTACCTACCCATACCGTCATCTGACTAGATATGAAACACAGGACGTGAGCGACCAGCCGTCGAGAGAAGTCGAGGTTACTTTCAATGTCCATGGCCATGATAAGCTGCCCAGCCAGCTCAATCAACAGAGCGCTATCACACTCGCTCAGCAGCACTGGCCTCGTCTGTAGCACACCGTAGTTGACTTTGCTCGTCTTGTCGGGCCAAATTTGCCCGTCAGCACCTCCAGGTCAGTCCTGTTGTCTCCCGACCAGCAGAGCGCACTCGTTCGAGCTACCAGAGTCGGTATCGGCCGCCGTACTGCTATCGTCGCTCACAAAACACGGCCCAACAACACGGGGAACAATACACACATCTGTGTCAGCAACACTGCAAATGCCGAGAGAGCTGCCCCATAAAACATCAACACACCTTCGCGCTGTAAATTCACACCGAGCTCAACCGCGATTTAAAGCTCACCGATCCACTAACATTCACTCCTTCACTTTCCGACAAAGGAGCTGTACACTGCAGATGCCCATCATAAGGAACAACTCTGATGAGCTGGACCCCGTTCACCAAATAACTGCATCATCGAGGGCTGATCATCTCTCCACACCCTTCCCCTCACTGCATGGTCGTGCCTCTCCACTCCGGCCAGCTGCAGGTGCAGACTGGTGTCCGGAGAGCTGCAGACCAGACCTCCTCGAACCTCACTGGACCTCACCGGACCTCGTCGGACCGGACTGGACCGGACCGGGGCCTTCACCGGCGCACTACGAGAACGAGCTGCGTCTCGAGTCGATGTTGTAGACCAGCGTGCGGCCCAGGTTACCCATGGAGAGGCGCGGCTTGATCTTGCTGGCGCCGTCTCCGCCGTGGCTCGACGGCACCGTCAGAGATGAGATGCGGGAGGTGCGCGGCTCAATCGACAGCGACCTGAGGTCACAGGAGCGGGGGCTAGGGTCAGTACTGACACAACCAGACCTGATGCCTCAGGAGGCAAGAGGTCACAGATCAGTGGTGACACAGACCTGGGTCACGTGCAAAAAGAGATCACGGGTTAGCGGTAACAGTGATCCCTGGTTTTCACGGTACAAGGGCACAGGTCAGTTTTGATAGTGATAACATTGCTGAGATGGATAAACGGCGTCGAAGTGCAGGGCTGAAAGAAATGTTGCCATTATGCACATCAATTGGCTTCTTTTTGTTTCAAAGCATCATCAAAAAAAAAAAAACATCGGCAATAAAAGAAATGAATGCACATCATATTTGTGTCATTTCGAGTGTGGTGTGTAATCCTCCAGGTCATAAGGATTACAATCGCAAGCCTCTTTCTCCTACTAATATCTGAGACAAGACTGCAGCAGTGCCTGCATCATCTGGTCTCACAGAGCTGTATAATGCGACTGGGCACAATGAGGCGCTGACGACTATTACCGCGCGCTGCCAATACGGACTGATAATGGACAGGGGCCAACACCCGAGTGTTTACTGAGCGTGACGTCAGGCCGACTGTATTGCACCCCTCCCCCTCCCCCTCTGGTAATGACCGCCCGATAAAACACTGCCGCTGCCGCTATTCGCCGTGGGGGGGGGGGGGGACTCAGACAGCATCGGACTCAGAGGGAAGGCCGCAGATCGTCATTGGACGACGGGAGGTCAGCACGGTCAAAGGTGCCGTGAAGTTTTGGCAAAATCGTGCGTGGAAGAACTTCTCACAATTACAAGAGCAAAGTCAAGCGTGAGCCGTCTAGCAAATGAACTTTGGACATCCTATAATTGATTTCTAACATCAAACGATGATGAAGACGGCGTACGAGTACAAAGGCGTTTGAAAGCGATGCCTTTCTGAAGAGAGATGTGAGACTTTCTGACTCGTTGCCATAGGCGCGGGAGCCGGGGGGGGGGCAGTGGGGGCAGCTTGCCTCCCCCCCCCCCAACTCTGGGGCCGTGGGGGCGGTGCCCCCACAGCTTTGAGACGGAATACCACATTTGTTTTGCAAATGTTTTTTTTTTTGTTGAAAAAGCCGAGGGGTGAAAAATAAGTGGCCTAAAACCGGTGAGAAAACTAGATTTGGGGGTACCCTAGGTTGATCTCTATTATGGTGTGCCCCCCCAGTCGGAAAGTAGTTCCCGCGCCCCTGCTCGTTGCAAGTCACCACCTCCTAAGCGGAGGAGCTCAGCGGGTACTCACATCTCGTAGAGGTCATCGTTGCTGAGACCGCAGGCGGACGCGTCCAGCAGATAGGCGGACACCTTGGCTTTGTACTCGATCTTGTATGGCGTCTGCTGGAAGCGCCTGTTCTCCCGAATCACGTGCGCAATCTGTGAATGAACGGGAGACTTTGTGAATGCCTGCAGGCACGACATGCATGCCAGTCGGCACCAGTCCCTATATTGCACCCATTGCACCAGTCGGTTCGTCAGCGCAACATTGGAGTCCTGGCAAAAATAAAACGACATTTCCATTTCTCCTTTTAACCCTCGCATGTGTGCGGCGTTTGCCAGCTTCTAATGTGTAGGGGGGGGGTCGGTTGGACCCCCCCCCCTTGCCGTTTGGCCCCTGATTGAGCTAGAGCTTCGCGGAAAAAACGAGCGTGTTGCCCGTGACGAGAGGAAGCCGATGATACCCAATTTTAAGGTCCTAGGTCATTGGTTGACCTTCCAGGTCAGGTCAATGACCCAAAGTCGGGAAAATCGGGAACTGTTTAGAAAGTCGTAAAGTGTGGCTGCTAAGGGGTTTTTCGGGGTGCTGATCACGAATATCGTGTTAGTTTTGATCACAGATGATGTCTTGAAGCATTTAGACCAGGTCGGGTCAGGTCAGGTCAGGTCAACCAGTAGGCGTCGTGACGGGTATTCGTAGTACGTGTCAACCGCCTCTGACAGCTTCGTAACATGTTACGAAGTCACCAAAACTACTTCGTAAATGTTCAAATGGTTGCTAAATTCGAATTCAGCTCCAAAAACTAGCCTAGAAACATGTAAAACTCGAAAAAGTGACCCGAGGTCACCCGAGGTCACCAAAGGTCAATGACCTGACCTGACCTTCAGGTGACCTTGACACACACGGGAGTAACATCAAATCACATGTTTGAACGTTTGAAACCACGAAAAGCTTGCAAACACGCGGCTAGTGCGAGCCGACATACGCGAAATCGCGATTCCGGCCAAACATGGTCTCGGAAAAGAGGTCACAGGTCAAAGGTCATTTGGGTCAAGGTCATGAAATTTTCAGGGCAGGTGTAAAATTGATCAATGCGAGGGTACTAAAAGTTTCGTCGCGATCGGCCGCTTTTTACGCGAGTTATTCGCGAAAAACCATGGGGGGGGGGGGTCCATCCGACCCCCCCCCCTACACATGCGAGGGTTAATTTATACTTTTTGTTGTGGTGAGTAAAATGCGTAAGATCATTAGCTGAGGGTTTAACTGCAATATTTGCTGCGACATTTGTGCAATTTCAAAAGGAAACTTTTTTATTTTCGTATTGTAGTATAGTATTGGGCATTGGCTGAACTGTTCCTACTGACATTTCATGAGGTGTGGCTTGTGGCCTAATGCCTGTGGCTGTAATGTGTCTCAGTAGGTAAGGTAAGTAGGTAATGTGTCCCAGCGCCGTCCGGCCGTCCTGCAGCGGTAGCCGCTCTCTCGCCGCGCTGCGCGGCCGCTCTGGCCGACCGACCGGCCAGTCGGCGCGGCGTCGGCCCCTCGTCAGCGGCCGGCCGCCCAGTCAGCACACCACAATGATCAATGCGGCCCGCTCTTGGCAGGATGTCTTAAAGGGTCGACTAGTAAGCAGGCTGCGAGGCGCCGCCACGGGCGGACGACGCCAGCTCGAATACCGCGGCTGGTCACTGCCCCTCCCCTCCCCCCCCCCCCAACACCAACACACAGACACATCACACTGAAATTCAGTGTGGCAGAGCGTGTATGGTCCGAATAATATCACCGAATAGCCTGGAACGTCACCGCGATTATCGACAAAGAGCCATACCAGAAAATCGGATAGATCAAGGAAGCCTAGCCGCGCACAAGGCGCTGACCAGCAAATCCTAGCGGTAGAATAGGTCAGATATGGATCCCATTACTAAAGAAACCACAAAAAAAAACATTCAGAGATACATGGCACCAAGTTTCCACTTTCCGAGACTAATGCCTCGGTAGCGGAGTGGCCCGGGCTTCGAAGGGCATGACGCATACGGCGCAATGGCGGCAGCAACCGGGCCCTTCAAAGAGCTTGACGACGACCGGAGAGGCAAGTGACTGAACTGCTAAGAAACTTACATCTCAAGACGGGGACAGCAGTCCAACAACTAGCATCTGTCAGCACAGTCCATATTTCTCGCGGCTCGCGCAGCGCCCACTCATCCTCCATCGATTCCATACCTACCGTAGCGTAGCGTTGCCGCCTGACGCGATGCTGTTCCGCATTACACGGATGCGCTGCGGCACAGTCTATCTGTTCAGTGAATCCGCGCTCGGTATCGGTAGCTACACCAACGGGCGATGACGACGACGTAAAAAGACATCTGTCACCGTAAAAAGTCTATGGTTGACCGATGCAGTAGTTAGCTTACACATTTTGTTCGAGATGCTCTGCAGGAAAGCCCCCCAACGGATGGTTGTGAAAGAGAATGACGTGATTACTGATTGGACAGAAAAGAGCGGCGTTTTGCAAGGTTTCAGGCGTCGTCAGTGAAAATTTGTCAAGCATATACATTTATTTTGTGCATTGCAGCATGTCTATTATGAAGCTCATACCGAAGGTGCTTATGCTGCTGGCCATGAAGAACTGTGACGTTTAAAAAAAAAACTAGATAGCAAGCAAATATGTGAAAGGATAGAAACTGCAATAGACCAGACCTGAGTCAATGCAATCCAAAAATGGCCTCAACAGACAACATCGCTCACGAGATATGTAATATCATTATTAGGTGTCTTTATTTATGCGTGACAGCCAATAAACGACAAATAGCCAGGCTCTTTATTACAGGATTCTCCAATGTCCACAATGTCATGGTGAAGATTGTCTGATAAATGGATGAGATTTTCTAAAGCCGATTCACAAATGGAGCTTTGTCGAGTCTTCTGCAGCGGAGCGTTAAAACCATGGTGTATATCAAACAAAAGTCGAATGAAGAGAGGGAGAAGGACAGAGAGAGAGGGAGAGGGACAGAGAGAGAGAGAGAGAGAGAGAGAGAGAGAGAGAGAGAGAGAGAGAGAGAGAGAGAGAGAGAGAGAGAGAGAGAGAGAGAGAGAGAGAGAGAGAGTGAGTGGGAGAGAGAAGCTGAACCCTCGTAAAAATAAAGAAGATGCTTTACTTAGGCACATAAACTGAAACCACTGCTCACAAGGCAAAATAAAATACAGCCGCCATTGCCCTTTGGGACGTAAGTTGTCCCCGTCCCCATGCAATTACACAGCAGAGCGGAGACTGCGAAATTCAGTGTGCACTGTGCACTCACCATGCGCATTTTGGCGAAGTTGAGCAGCCCGTCGTCGGTGAAGTTGGGTGTGCCCTCCTCGATGAAGCTCAGCTCGGTCAGGTACATGCCCAGGTAGGGGATACAGGGCGGGTCGCAGCGGTGAAGGGTGTCCCGCAGGTTCCGAAAGTTGCCCTCGAACGAGACCAGCTTCTGCAGCCGACTGACCGTCTGCTTTGCCTGTGGGCCCGAGCATGCAGGACTGTCAGGGGCCCGAGCGGAAGATGGATGGTCAGCATCGTTTGGCTTCATAAGAAAATATACTTCAAATCAGGTTCAGGTTACAGGTTCGTGATTGTTGACAAAACATTAAAATATTTTGAAGTCCACAGCAAGGAATGAACTTGATAATATATGGTATTATTCGTTGTAGCTAATACACAATTGTGTATGTGGTCGTTTTGCGTAATGATTCCATATAAACGCTACATTTGAATTTCGATAGAGTTGTTGTTGAAGCCCGAAATAAATATTCAGAAAGCCTAAAGGACACCTATCACAGGTATTAATCAACACTTCGCAGAGAAAACTATGACGAAACACCTCCATTCCTGACCCAGAAACCCTCAGCGGCAGCATTATCGCGCACTTGTACTCACCGTTTTACTGACTTTCTCCCAGGTGCGTTTGAGCCGGAACACGGGTGTGTTGGTGAAGGCGGCGCAGATCTGCAGCACGCCGTTGAAGTTCTGCAGACACCTGCAGATGTCGCCCACGGCGGCCCACTTCTCGATCACTTGCACTCGGTCTGACGAGTTCTTGTTCTTGAGGATCGATGATACCACGAGCATGGACATCTGCCGGTCGTGACGGGGAAGTGGGTGAGGTAGAGGTGAGGTGAGGTGGATTAGATAGGTGGAGGGCTCGTTGAGAGGTCATTGCTTCGTTACGTGTCCGTCATACAACATATTTGATGGACATTGGTACGAAAGAGGGCAAATCATCGTGATACATTTACGTTAAATATTTTAAAGAGAACTGTGCGATACTTCGCCAAGCCGCAGTAAGTGCCTTTAGCCTTTGGTGAAACTGGGAGCAACAAAAGAATTACGTGAAAACTGTAGCTGAAAGCGGCAAGTTCAAAACAAGGTTTTAGCCTTTCATTCAATTGAATACAATGACCAGCTGTTCGAACCCACTAATGCCGTTCTTTGAGCGTCTCATCTATCTGAGTCTTTTGGCAAGCTTTCAGAATGCATAGAGAGCAGATTAGGCGCTGAAAAGAGCGGGCTCTGATCCACGTTCAGCGGGCGTTCTAACCTCGTTGAATCGCCTTGTGATCATCACGATGTGGGGCGCTTTCTGCGTCTTCTCCGGCTTCATCCAGTTCTGGCAGAGAAATTCCCTGAAAACACCGGGGTAGGACACGGCTGAAATTCGGGTAACCATTAGACTAAAAAGGGTTGATGAATTTACACATAAAACCCTTTTGAAGTGGTTAAATATTATTTATTTATTTATTTATTTATTTATTTAAATATAGAATATTAGTCAATTGGTCACCGGTATACATACAAGGAGACCTCAAACAGGAGTTACCCCCAGAGGGCGTGCCAGATAAACACCGTGACACCTTTGTCCCTGATTTAGTGGCATACCTAAATGTAGCACGACGTTATCAGCTCAAATACATAACAGCAAATCGTTGGTCATAGACTCTCGTATTTACTTCGCGTGGGTGAATGTTTGAAGAAGCTGGTAGTAAGCTGTAATCTAGCGTGCTAGAGCTGTTTGGGTAAAAGCTGATCTTTTCGTTTACACATGAAACAAACCTCCGGCTACTACTTCTCTTGTCTTTCTCCTTCCCCTTCAAGACCTAGCCGTAGTCTCAAGCAGGGTGTACTGTAAAGTTACATCGTTTTTGTTCGTCCCGTTCTCACTCTCTCGGTGACCAGCGGGCATGTGCTCACAGCTGACCTGGGGTAGGTCGGTCCGTCAGTAAGTGCACCCGGTCAGGTCCCCTCCCGGTGCCACCGTTCTCGACCGCTGCACCAGTGCGTGCTAGTGCCTCATCAGGGCGTCTCCTGAGTCCTGACCAACAGCAAGGAACTGTGGCAGCGCCATCACTCAACCGCTCCCAAACACTGTTTACTGAGCTAGCCACCGACATCCATTAGCATTAAATCCGCCGGTAGAGGTGATCGCTGGAAGAAAACCCTGATGATCCGCCTCAAACGAAAACGCAAACGCTCAGAATATTTACATGAGATATTTTGATATCTTCAATATTCACGAGCAGCATGTGAACAATGTGTCCACTGATCACGCCGATACTGGACACAGGATAACTCGTAGACATATGAACCTGATCTAAGTACCTATATCCACCTTCTCTTCTCCTCATAAGCAGCGGCTGTTACCAGCCTTGAACACTGAACAGCGCAGCGGAGGCGGTGGAAGTTGGGCGGTGGGCGGTGGGCGGTGGGCGGCGGGGGCGGCAGCGGGCGGCGGGGGCGGCGGCAGCGGCGGAGGCGGGGGCGGCAGCGGCGTGCGTCACGCGCGGCGGCCCGCTTGTCGGCCGCTGCTAATCAGGACATCCTTCAGGCGGCGTTCGGCCTCCGGGGCTGACAGGCGTGGCGGGGTCGTATAGCTAACGCCCGCGCCGCCGCCGGAGCTCGGGACCGCCGCACTCCGTGGCAATTTGTCGGGCCGTTAGACTATATTTTAAACTGCCTGGCCGGGAGATACCCTGAGCCGCGCGGTTTATGAAGCTACATAGATTACCAGGCTAAGCCCGGGAGCTGAACTGAAATGCGCGAGCGTGAACGAATACAGAATGTTTGCATACAGCGAGTCCTAACGACAGCTCAGCTTCCGAAATGGATTCATTGTGTGAATGAAGACATGAATGAATGAATGAAGTCTACATGAATGAATGAAAAAAGAGTCAAGTTAGTGCCAAGTTATTGCGAGGAAATTGGATAAGTTCATGCATAGACTTCTCTATAAAAAGAGGAGTCTGTGATTGATGAATCATGACCACCAACAGGGTGACGGAGAAGGTATTCGACGAGACTATGCTGACTATGCTCGTCATCCAGTTGTAATGAATCCGCACGATATGGCGTACCGGGGAGACTAAGTTCGGTAGTCCAGATGTAGCTAAGCTTCCAACCACCGTTTCATATGTCACCCATGTCCTATCAGTGTTTACAGAAACCGTTCTTCGCCCGAGGCCGTTGTGGTCTCAACGGCAAAGGTGGCCAACGAGACGTGCTGACGCATTGATTTCAGAGCTCCGCGCCGAGACCGAGTCAAAGGGAGGGGTGGAGGAAGACGGAGAGGGAGAGGGAGAGAGAGAGAGAGAGAGAGAGAGAGAGAGAGAGAGAGAGAGAGAGAGAGAGAGAGAGAGAGAGAGAGAGAGAGAGAGAGAGAGAGAGAGAGAGAGAGAGAGAGAGAGAGACAGAGAGAGAGAGAGAGAGAGAGAGAGAGAGAGAGGGAGAGAGAGAGGGCAGGGTTGAATGTAGGAATTAGTGAGAGGAAGAATCCACAGATGCAGGCCGCGCGCAACATAGGTGAATGTGGATGAATGGAGAAGGATTCATCGTGTGTTCAGCGCCGCCTGCAGGGAGCGCCGGTCGGTGGTCGGCGCCGTGAGAGATATATCGTACGACAGCTCAGCCTACGAATGTCAGCCGCACATATCGGTGGGTACTGTGTACTGCGTAGGTACTGTGTTCACTGCGGAGGACCCGACTCAGTCACTGTGTGGAACAGTCGTACGTGCAAGTGAAACAACTTATGAAATTTGTAAGAAGTCGCATAAATCTCACATATATCGCAATCATAAGTTAAAATTTTAAGCATGCAAATCCGTGACTAATTTACCGAATCATACAGAAAAACGGCACGCCACGCCGGTCAGGGAGCATGCGCTGTGACCGTCCCTGTCCACAGTTTGTCCCGGTCCGGTCAAGGGGAGCGCTGTGACCGTCCCTGTCCACAGTTTGTCCCGGTTCGGTCAGGGGGAGCGCTGTGACCGTACCTGTCCACAGTTTGTCCCGGTCCGGTCAGGGGGAGCGCTGTGACCGTCCCTGTCCACAGTTTGTCCCGGTCCGGTCAGGGAGCATGCGCTGTGACCGTCCCTGTCCACAGTTTGTCCCGGTCCGGTCAGGGGGAGCGCTGTGACCGTCCCTGTCCACAGTTTGTCCCGGTCCGGTCAAGGGGAGCGCTGTGACCGTCCCTGTCCACAGTTTGTCCCGGTCCGGTACGGGGGAGCGCTGTGACCGTCCCTGCTAGCAGGTTGTCCTCCGCCCGGGACCACTGGGAATGCACTGTCCTGGTCCGGTCCGGGGACTCGCTGTCGCCAATCAGCGGCTGATTCGAGCCGCCGGACACTGGCGACTGCGTGTCCGGCCTCCGGTGGCGACCCTAATTGGCCGCCCCTAACGACCCTGCCCCCCTCCCCTCCCGAGGGGGACGGGACCAGTGAGAAGACGAGGCGCGCTCGCTCCTTCTCACCGTCTGCCGTGCGTCTCACGCTCCGCGCCGCGGCCTGATTGTATTTTCCGCGTCATTTCATGTCGGTGGCGCCGCATTGTGCTGTCCGTCGATAGGGAAACGATCAAAGAGCGGCCCGCGGCACCAGGACCCGGCTGCTGCAGCAGCTGCAGCTGGCGGCAACTGCTGCAACAGCTGCCTGCAGCTGGCGGAGGCGGCTATTGGTTTGCAGCCTGCTACGGATGTATGACAGCCTGTACGTATATCGACCAGCCAATACTAAGGCATCGCTAATTGAAAAGACGTGGCACATTATTCATGCCTAACTTTGGTATTTTATGATGTTCTTCTATTGTCGAATATTCTTGCCGGAAATGTAGCGACACGATAAGCGTTTTCCGTTGCAATACTAGATAGAACAGAAATCAGTGCAGCCTGGAGCTATGTGGAAATGACTTCTACTATCAAGATTTAGCTCTGACGAAAATGCGTAGCGGATTTTATGGCGAGGCTCTGAAATCTGACGATAAATGGCCGCGGTGATAGGGCCTTGCTGACGCTGAGCGCGCTCAATCCGCGGGGATACCATGGACTTCATGGACATTACAGATATAAAAAATGGACGAGGCATTTATTTGAGGAAAATGTAAAATTACGGAGCAGCTAAGATTCATCCAATAAATTTAGAATAATTTATTTTTTAGTATGCCTAAAAACGGGATGAGCAATCGCGCTTAGAGATTCGCGTTTCCCACGGGGCCTGTTTCTGCAGCTAACCAAGTCCAGCTCAGCTTTCCGTGCCGCCTTACAAATGGCGTGACTGCGAGCATCCTCACTGCATACCACCAATGATGTGCCCGACATATTGGTTTAGAATTGCGAGAGGCGTAGCACGACTTTATCAGTTAATAGGAAAGCCAATTCATAGCTACATGCTGATAAGGAAGCGAGAATTTGAGGGTGATATTTTCGTAATTGAGGCTCTTTATGTCAACAATAAATTTGAAGTTCGACTATATATCTTTTTTTCACAACTCAGCACCTCTTCAAATAGATATACAGCTAGCGCATCTGATGCTTACATACATCGAGCATTGCTCGGCAAGCGGAAGTGACACCTGTGAAGTTCACTGACCTTCAGCACCTGCGGGTGACTGCTGCATGCCATCGCCACTCACTGGCACCTAACTGCTAAAGATGTAGGTAATACTCACTCGCTCCTGATGGCCATGAAGATCTGGTGGTCGAGGTAGGTCATCTGCTCGGCTATGTCCAGCGCAGACAGAGTGTCAATGCTCTCCTCGCTAGGAGTCTGGAACGACGGAGCGGGGCAGAGCGATTAGTGTCACACAAACGGTGCTGTTTTCAGTTTCGTAAGCATAAAACGGAATCACATAATGCGTACCGTAAAGTGGGGCTATTTGAGACAGTATTTAAAATCGCTATAAAATGAAGATCGTTTGATTTATGTGTGATATTTTTGCACAGGAAGGTGTGGAATCGAGCAGTAAATCGCCTGAGCAAAAAAATTAAGCATGAATCTTAACCCTCGCCCGCACATGGTGGTTGCCACCCCCCCAGGTAGTCTTTCTGCTCTGCACTCAACATTTTTAGAGCTAGAAAACTGATTTTTCGTATAGCTGCTCCTCTATTCTTTCTTGATGTCCACTGAAAATTTCAAGTTTCTGTGATTTTTGGTTTCGGAGATATGACCTTGTTTTTCAGGTCATGTCATGACCCAAATGGCTAATTCTCAACATCTTGCGTTTGCCATGGTCCTTATGAGCTTTTGGCACCCTGATTTCGGCCTTTTTTGCCAGTCTTACCTCCTACCTATCATGGAACATGTTGTTCGACGATGTACAGGGGTCAAGGTCAGGGTCAAGGTCAACCTAGGTCACCTAAGATAATTGCGTTTTAGGCAAGCTGAATTTACTTTTTTTGAAGCTTTTTGACTGCATTTTTGGTAAAAGCTTCTCAGATCATGATTTCATGTAATATGAACCCAAAAACAATCGGTGCACACATCAGTATACACATAGACACACACAGACATACAAACACATATAATTGATCTTGACCTAACTTGACCTGAAATGACCTCAGCAGCAAAATTCTGGTCGGGTAGTGTGACAAAGAGGTTCTAGCTGGCTTGGCACCAGAAAACAGCATCGTCATCGGTATTTGATAAGCAGCGCACTTGATATCCAACGGTGACCCAAAACAGCAACATTTTTTAGTTTGACCTGACCTGGAAGGTCAATGACTGACCTGAGAAGGTAAAACTGGGTATCATTGGATTCGTCTCTTCCCAAAGAATCTTTTTGGTCTTTACTGCTAAGCTCTATCTCCAACAGGAACGAAATGGCGCGGGGGGGGGGGTGGCAACCCCCCCCCCCCATGTGCGTTCTAGGATGGGAAAATGGCATATGCGGGCGAGGGTAAGTGGTTTTTATTTTATAGCAATTTTAAATACTGTCTCAAATAGCCCCACTGTCTCAAATAGCCCCACCTTACGGTACCGCACAGTAGGGTTGTTCAAAAAAACCGGATTTTGGAAAAGTATACGGGCTCATGACTCGTGTGGTGAGGTATTCTTTTCTGAGTCCAACGATGTCCTTTTTTCCGAAAAATATTAACTGCTTCATGCTCCCCAAACGGCTTGAAGAGGAGGATGTTACGCCCGGCGACCGGCCGGTGTCAATAAGGGCGAGAATTCGGTGCCGCGCGCCGGCGGAGGCGCCTTATCGGCACCGCGCGCCACGACATCTACCGGGCGGCCGGCCGACCGGTGTAAGGGAATGAATGGGTGGTCTTCTTTCGCATGATAGGGGTGCGCTAGCCCATATTGTCGGAGTGGAAAGTTTCAGTGCAGCATCGGTACCTCTGCCGCAGTGTTCTGTGTCGATGCCCGATGGTTCAGAAAAAAGCCAAGCAGAACTAAGAAAAGACTCAATGCTTCTGGCTAGTTCACTATAAACATCTCGTTTCGAGAATACAGCGCGGCGTTTCACGGCCGCTGCTACCAAGATTGCTGCTACCACGCTGCCGGCAGGCTGACTGACTACATCGTCCGAGTTTGCTGATATCTCCATGGACACCCAATTTGACACGTAGGCTGCTAGCGAGCAGTAATCGCCACGCACTTTGAGAATGTGGATCGATCATGGTTGTTCAATACAAAAGCGCCCGTGAAACAGGACCCAGCTGCCACTCAACATACCATATCGCTTTGTTCATGAGTCAAGACGCGAACTCTGAGCAATAACACAGCTCTTTGCACTGCTGTCGACAACTTACATTGCTTTTAGACGGTGGCTTGCAGCCCACATATGCTGTTGCCAACGGTATGCGAAAATTTGAAGTTTACTAAGAACAGCAGGAGCTAGCCCCCGGCATCGACGTTAGGTTTAACCTACATTAGCACTTAGCAGTTAAAAACAGGATGACATGCCCGGGAATGACGCGGTGGCCGCACTGACATCGTGACGAAGTTGGGTGTGAGTAGAGACAATAGCTGGAGTACACATAATGTCAAGCGCCCATCAATCCAACCCTTCGGGCAGCAGCAGCATCAGCAGCCCGGCCATGTCCACCGATGCCGCTCAAGATCCGATCCAGAGCCGGCAGAGAGCACGGCTCTGCCCTGACCTGACACATATCCCCGGCGTGTCATGACGGACAGACCATTACCTCGCCTGTATAAATACAATGTATACACTATACAGTATACCTAACTTACCTATTTCTAAGTCTCATGTTGAGGCAAGAAGTGATCAGCGTCCAGTTCTACTTCGACGAAGACTCGTATTCAGACCTGGCAAAGAGAGCACGGCTCTGCCCTGTTTCCGCGGCTTCTAATGGCCACATCGATACGAGACATCTCCAATCGTCTGTTTTACCTAACTACAAAACCAGGTTGTTGTGTTGCGATTAGCACGATACAATTGTTGCGTACAGCGTAGATATTTGTTAAATGCGTAATTAATTAGAAATAGGAAAAGTAAACATTGCCATCGTCATTCGCCAAACAGGCGATGTCAAGCATAAGTCTGTCCGTCATGACACGCCGGGGATGTGTGTCAGGTCAGGGCGGCTCTGCCCTGGGGGATGTGTGACGCGCTCTATGCCGGCTCTGGGTTCGGGTCTTGAACGACACCGGCGCGGTGGGCACGGCCGGCTGCCGGTGCCGCTGCTGGATTGAGCGACACAATTGATTTATATGTGTACTCCCGCTATTGTCTCTACTCAATTCGTCACACTGTAAGGGTGGCCAAACTGTCATTCCCAGACATGTTATCTTTTCTTTCGAACTGCTAATCTAAGTAAAACAAACGTCAATCCTTGCAGCTTGATGAATAAACAAAGCGATATGTTACGCTAAGGAGGCAGCTGTATTCTGTAAACGGAATGTTTCGAGTGAATTACCCAGAAGCGTTGAGTCTTTTCTTAGTTCTGTTTGGCTTATTTTCTGAACAATCGACACAGAACAACGCGGCAGAGGTACCGATGCTGCACTGAAACTTTCCGCTCCGACAATATGGGCTAGCGCACCCCTATCATGTGAAAGAAGACCACGCATTTTATTCCCTCCCACCACTGGCCGGCCGGCCGCCCGGTAGATGTCGTGGCGCGCGGTGCCGATAAGGCGCCTCCTCCGGCGCGCGGCGGGGAATTCTCGCCCTTACTGACACCGGCCGGCCGCCGGGCGTGACATGGTCCTCTTCAAGCCGTTTGGGGAGCATGAAGCAGTTAATATTTTTCGGAAAAAAGGGCATCGTTGGACTCAGAAAAGAATACCTCACCACACGAGCCATGAGCCCGTATACTTTTCCAAAATTCGATTTTTTTGAACAACCCTACCGCACAGGGAGGTTTAGCTTGGCCGCTTTCCTGTCTAGCGCACGGGCTGGGTAGACTGCGCCGCACGACAGACATGCACTGCGGCACAGTATCCTGTCACAGGCCGGCGCCATGGCTCGCGCATGGACTCGACTCAGGTGGAACGTGGCCGAGAAAACATCAAGCTGATGTTTCCTTGCCCTTAACATTCCCATCTGCCTCCGACATCCATCCATCATTGTCGACTAGCTATCCCTCGGAGCTCTCCAAACATCGCTAATGATCTACGAAAGTTCTCCAGGCCAACGCAGGCAGAATATCGGCACTTTGGTGGAGTGAAGAGACTGCTTATGAGCCTCCTCCTCTATTCCGCTATGCCGTAACATATTATATCATCACATCTTTTATCTACATCTTTGATGCTTTAATTGGAACAATGAATCTCTAAAGAATGTGACATAATAAAAGTGTGGCTCGTAATGTAATGAATTCTAGTACGTCTATCCAGTATATTATATAATACGAATTCAATGTCACTTTACTTACCAGCGGCGGCGCCAGGAGCCGATCCAGGGTGACTCGGTTCCTGACGGGCTCCTCGCGCGTGATCATGTGGTAGAGCTGGCTGGCCGCCTTGTGCTCCGTCGGCAGGATAGACCGCGAGCTCATGACGTCCTCCAGGAACTCGATCGTCAGGTTCTTCAGCTGAGTGTCACTCTCAAAGTCCTGCGGGCAATCACGGGCAGGGTGCAGTCACTTTCAGTGAATACGGTCACTGTGACCGTGTCACACAGAATATATGTCGGCTACAGAAACGCTGACGTCAGACAGTTTAACCCTCGCCGGCCGAGGGGGGGGGGCGGGTGCCGCCCCCCCCATAGGTTTTTTTCGCGATAGCTCCGAACACGCTGGCGATAGAGAGCTGAAACTTGGCATACCTGACCTTTGATCCAAGCCGCATCTTTTGACACCAACCGCATTTTTGGGTCAGGTCAGGTCACTGACCTATGACGTCATAAGTGAACCTCTGCACGGTCTTCAGATGTCGCAACTTCGCAACGCCCTCACTGCCAGAGGAGATGTCACAGGGAAATGAAACTTGCAGGATCTAGTATCCATTATGAGTCCCACAACTTGTATATCTCGGATTTTTCCTAAAGGTCATATGAGGTCAGGTCATTTTCGTGACCTCACCATTATAAGTCAATGGGGAAAAATTCAAACTGCTATTCTGGCGCCGGGAACGATCTCCAACTATCTCAAGCACACAGAATCGTGATTTTATGCACTCCTTGCAAGGTTAGATGCGTCACTTTTGCAATGTTGACCTTGCGTGACGTCATTTATGACGTCATTAAGGTCATATTAGTTTTTCGTCAATAACTCTTGATCAAATTGAGCTAGCGAGTCGGAAAAGCCACCAATGGACTCAGGAAGACCTGCCGAATCGAATGATATGCGACATGACCTCTTTCGACCAACTTCGTGACCTGGGGGTGCTGACCTGACCTTGACCTGAGGTCAACACCCCAAGTTGACCTGACCCGGACAAAAAGTATAATATTCGACGCGCCTGAGCGAGACGAACACGATGCTGCCAGAATCGGCGCTCTGCGGCCGTTTTTTGCGAAGTTATTCACCAAAAACTGAACCGTACCTTGGGGCACTTGACCTGACCTCAGAGGTCACCGGTTGACCTAGGACCTTAAAATCGGGTACCAATCTCTGCGTCTCGTAACGGCGCACACGCTCGTTTTTTCCGCGACGCGCTAGCTCCACCAGGGGCGAAACGGCGAGGGGGGGTCGTACCCGCCCCCCCCCCCCCTCGGCCGGCGCGTATGTAGAAAACCAATAGGTCCGGCGAGGGTTAACCGGGCCGCCCAATGAATATTGGGCCACGCCTCCGCTGGGCAGCAGTCTCCTTTGCCGGACAGAGCTCTCTCGATGTTGCCATTCCCTCCCTTCTCTCTCCTCTCTTCTCCTTTTATCACTCTCCCTCCTTCCAGTTCCGCGACTTCAAGCCTTTCAGAGACCTCGCGAAGAATGATGCTTTTCAGGAAGGAACAAAGACGGTCCAGCCACAGGGCTGATTTTTGGCCTGACGCCGAGATCCTTGATAACCAAGCATCGGACTAATATTAAACAAAGACGCGAATCTCGGCCGGACTCTTGTCTCTAACGACCAACCGATGAGAGAGCAGACGACCCGGCCGCCGAGCCCGGTCCTTATGAGCGAGCGAAGGGGGGATCGTTGCCGTAATTTGTGCTGAATAACGCCGCAGTGTGCCACAGTCCTCAGCTCGCCGCCTAATGAAACCGGAGGGAGCCAGGCCTGACCCCAGCTAAAAATAGATACAGACAGACGCTCCGAATAAGCGCAATGACGCAACTGGTATTTTACTTTTTGTTGCTAGCTTCTCTCATGATTATATCTGAATTAAATGATAAAGCAATGTATGGAGATAAAAATGCACAAACCAATGAAATAGCTCCTAATTTCGCCACGATTCAAGCAGAAATCAAGTTAATTTTTTTAGTAACAGCCTATTCCTGTGAAAAAGATATTGTCACTTTTCAGTTTTTGTCATCCTTCATCCACTGAGCCACCGAGCTGACACAAATATCCCATCAGCGTCCCTCCTGGGCACTCACGTCCCACCAAAATACCCCACCGTGTCCGTTCCCATTCCACCTTACTAACAGCCCTCCCCTCTCCCAAAACAAACTGCACTCGCCGCGGCACCTACCTGGAAATGTTTGGACACCCAATGCCGGAGCACATTGAGCACGCGCATGGTGGCCGCCGTGGAGACGATGCTCTCCTGGCGTTTGCAGCTCTGCCGCCGCTCGGCCACCGTCCACGGCTTCTGAGTGGGCGCCGGGTGGTCGCGAGGGTTGGACGAGCCCGCCGTGGCGATGGCGAACGCAGAGGCCGCTGAACTGCTGCTGCTCCTGTGGGTGTGGGTGGGAAGGGTTGGGGAGTTTACTCTGGTGTGGACTGTACTGACTAGAGCTGCTGCTGCTCCTGTGGTGTGGGTGGGAAGAGCTGGGGACTTTACTCTGGTGTGGACTGTACTGACTAGAGCTGCTGCTGCTCCTGTGGGGGTGGGTGGGAAGAGCTGGGGACTTTACTCTGGTGTGGACTGTACTGACTAGGGGACTGTACTTAGGGGACTGGTGGCGGGAGGGAGAGGGGTGGGAGACGACCGGTTAGTTAGAGGGGTATTACACAATCGGTGGGTGGTAGGAAGCGGTTGGAGAGAAGTGAATGGCTGCTGGCGTTGAGATGGGGAAGGGATAGGAGGGCGTGGATGGCAGGACAAGGGGAGGATGAGCCGTTAGATAGTGGGTGGTAGATGGATGTGTTTAACAAAACGTGGTAGCTAATGGACTATTCAAGTCTTTATGTCCAAAGAATTTCTGTCATCAGAAATTACAAATATGAAAATTACAACAACAAAAAACATGTATAGCATAGAAGCATGCAATCCTGTTTCACAAGCACTGCCACCCCATACGAACCCGTACAACGCCACCTAAAATTCAGAACGGCTCCTGTCCGGAAGGAGATTGAGATTTTCCGGCCCGGAATGCTGACTCAGTATCTGACTACGCCGGTTAAATCACAAAAGATGAGTCAGCACAGTCGCGACAAATTCCGGTGTGCAGATTCATCCATGCAGCGCATATAGGCAGGGCGGAACGATTCGGTTAGATTAGCCCGTAGCCCGTAGTCCATGCTGTGCTAAGCAGTCCAGCAAAAAGAGGAAAATGCATCTTATTGGAGAATCATTTAGACTACCTATACGTTTCTTGGGAAGTAATGGAAAGACTTTGGATGCCGTTTTGTCCACATTCCATGTATCATTTGGTACGCTTTTTGATCAACATTTTACGAATCGCAGAACGGCAGAGGACTGCAGTGGGTTCGTACGGATGTAGTGCAGCCCTCTCTTACAGTTGTCAGCTGGCTCAATTGAATTAGGAGGGCCGAATGCCCCAAATGAGTTAGTAGTGTGCTGCAGATGTAACGAACACCATTAAGCGGAAGGACCCGGCAACCACATTCGTTTTTCGAAAGTTTGTTAGTAAAAAAACACATACATGAGGCAGAACGTACCTACCGTCTATGTTTTTGTGTAGGTAGTGTAACTCATCAGTCCTAATGAGGTACCGGTTTATAGGGGAAGCCGGGGGAAGCCCGGCATAGTAAGCTCTTTTTCATTTTTATTACATACCATACGTGCTGTATAAAATGTTGATATCCTGCTAGCTAGCTAAGTTCATTGGCCGTGTTTTCCCAAAAATTCGGTTTCTTGGAATAAGTATAAGGTTGAGAAAATCGAGTTTTAAAAAAGTGTTGATTTTTCTGGGGTAAGCCCGGCATAGGGGTAACGCCGGCCACCTCCCCAGCGCTTTACAACGAGTTGATGAAACCATTATGTGTTTTCCAAATATTAACGGAAAGTGAAATATTAAGGTACTGATTAGCTCTGGACATCTTAGAGTTTATGTCACTACTGGTATTTTAGCTAGCGTCTACTACATATACAGTACAGGTCGATGAAAATCGTGATGCAAAATTGACAAAAAATGTGTGTTTCAAAATTCCTTAAAATTTATTTTTCTTTTTACCTTAATGCATCATATTGCATATCATTCGACTCGGCTGATGAAGAAGAACACAACGACACCATTTTTGAAGCTCTAGCTTCATTGTCTGTCGTGTTATCTGCAAAAACGTAGTTTGACCCTAGTTGACCTTAAGTGACATGACTGGCTTTGTCTATCATAACATGTTTATTTTCGAAATTTATCTTTGATCTAGGTATAAACCAAACCTGCTCAGTACCTATTATCTCATGGAAAACAGTGGTTTAGTGGCATTGCTCTCGGTTGGGGGTAAGCTTGGCCACTCGCCCGGGGTTACCCCAATGTGCTAATTTTTATTTTAGAACAGCGATATTCGAAAAAAATGTCATACTTAAGCCAGCCTGCCTAGTCACCCCTCACTACAAACACTTAAACGGTCCTTACATAACATTCGTATAAATATTAGTACTGTATGGTATAACATTAACAGTGCAACATATCTCACTTTTTAGCTAAAAACCCTTAAAATATCATTTTTGCGCTATAAGTTAAACAATATGCAATTTTTGTCAGCCTTAACTTTTTTGCTGGCGTCACCTTAGCTGCCACGCTGAAAGGACAAACAGTTGAGCATTTTATTGTGAATAATTTAGCCGGAAACGGGGTGGCCGGGCTTCCCCCGCGCCCGGGCTTCCCCCGGCTTCCCCTATGCATCAGTTTGAATAATCAATACCTTCTCCATTCCAGACGTGGCCCGCGACAGGGCTCGGCCGAAAACTTAGTGACCCAGCGAAGTGAAGACCTATTTCCGGTCAAATTAGCACCAGCATCGATTTTTCATCCGTTCGGCTACGGTAGCGCCATCTCTCCCGCTCTCCGCAACAGGCTCTCCCGGCTGCGTTACAGGCTACACTCCGGACTATCGACGCCACCTACCCGAGATCGACGGTGCCCTCAGCGCCGCCTACAGCACTGCCCTGCGTTAGCTCTCACAGCACCGATCTGCGCTGGCCCCTACGGGCCTACGGGTTACGGACAAAAGTACGTATCGCTAAAGTACGTAGGACAAAAGTACGTAAGCAAAAGTACGTAGGATTAAAGTACGTATCGCAGAAGTACGTACAGTATAAAGTACGTATGGACAAAAGTACGTCAGGGACAAAAGTACGCATCGCAGAAGTACGTACAATATAAAGTACGTATGGACAAAAGTACGTCAAGGACAAAAGTACGTCAAGGACAAAAGTACGTATCGCAGAAGTACGTACAGTATAAAGTACGTATGGACAAAAGTACGTCAGGGACAAAAGTACGTATCGCAGAAGTACGTACTATATAAACTACGTATGGACAAAAGTACGCCAGGGACAAAAGTACGTATCGCAGAAGCACGTAGGGTATAAAGTACGTATGGACAAAAGTACGTCACGGACAAAAGAACGTATAGCTAATGTACGTTGGGTAAAAGGTACGTATGGACAAAAGTACGTCACGGACAAAAGTACGTATCGCAGAAGTACGTAGGTTATAAAGTACGTATGGACAAAAAAAGTACGTCACGTACAAAAGCCTACGTATAGCAAATGTACGTAGAGTATAAAGTAGGGTAGCCTTGGGCAAGACGCCCCAGATAATTTATTTTGCTACATAGGTACCTACTTTTGTTTCACACCACCTGGAAGGCCAAATTTGTGCTCAATGTGTTCTTTGGACATTTTACTTTAAATTCCACCTCTCAAATTCAATCACTTATGATCGGACTCCCAGCTAGGAAGTGCTTTGTGAAGCAACTGCAAATGGGGCATTTTGCCCCAACCCCAGGGCAAAACGCCCCACGGCCTGAGGCAAGAAGCCCCATACACTAGATTAACCCTCGCGGGCCCGGGGGCGTTTTTCGCCCCCCCCCCTGGCGAATATTTGCGATAGGTCCCGAACGTTTATAGGGATAGGAAAGCGAAACTTTCAGTACCGTTTCTCCCATCAATTTGACATCTTCTGAAGTAAAAAATTTGGACCTAGCCCCATTGATGACGTCACAAAGTCGATTTTTCTAGACCCCTGCACGGCAAACTTCGGTGTCACAGACGCGAACTTCAAATAGCTGCTAAAAATAGAGTTTTAGAGATAAAGACAAATTACGAGCACGGTTGTGTAGCGTTTGACCATAGAGAAAAATACAAAAATAGTTTAAATGACCTGAGGTCAGAGGTCAGGTCAACGACCCCGAGCTGTGGTTTTAGTTTTTCGCAAATAACCTCGACAAAAATGGTCCTAGAGTTACGGCAGTGGTACCATCGCATTTGCCTTGTCAAGCCGCGTCGAATGATATATATTTTGTTTGGAAAAGGACAAGTTTTATGTTGACCTCATGTGACCTCGAATGACCTTTGGTTGACCTTGACACACCAAAAGTCGTTTATGATGGATTCCTACCCGCTGATCACGAATCTGGCATCTATTTTCCTCTAAGCCTTTATTTAGAGCCTCCGGATGGCAAAATTGTCTTATTTATTATTACTAACTTGAATCAGTGAAATAGCCTCTAGCAAGGACTCTCTTCTGTGACCTTGACCTTTGAGCAGCCTTGTATCGTAAGATGAACCACAAATAGGGACCTGATAAGCCTCAAAACATTTCAAAACATCTTGGAAGTTGACACGCAAGATGTAGGTACGAAAAAGTGCAAAGTTTGAGGTAAATTTTGAGCATGACCTTGACCTTGACCTTTGATGTTGAGCACATTTTCGGAATTCTCAGATGATTCTCTTCTCTCGTTTGACACCCAATTTTGCCGGTTTTAAGCATCCTGCCGTCCTCTAGAACGCTCACTTTGAGATCACTACACATGTGCCGGTTTTTGCCTTTGGCCTTGACCTCTGACCTTGAAAATTGACCTGAGGTCAAAAATTTTGGGTGCTTTAGAATCGTCTCGTAAGGACCTTTCGTTTGGTATCTCTTTTGTTTGCGTAGCTCCCTTATTTACGAAGTTAGACAGGGGGGGGGGGCGAAAAACGCCCCCCCCGGGCTGCGGTGGTTAGGATTACCCCCCGGGCCCGGCCGGGTTAAACTACTGAAATAAGTTCATTTCACGAAGGTATTTATTAAAAGAGAGATTTCGTGCAGATTTGGTCAAATAGGTGCAATTGCCAGATAGCCCGTCGTGAAAACGACTATTTATAATTTGTTACGGTCAAACAGCCCAAGCTCTATCCAAGCATGTTTCCACTGCCCATCATACCAGCATAGCATACCATATCATTTCCACTGACCACCGGATGTTACACCGCTGGCTGTTACAGCGCTGACCTGCGCTAGCTGTTACGCCACTGACCTGCGTTTGCTCGTACAGACTGAACTGACCCCCGCAGCACTGACTTGCGCTGCCCTCTGGCTCTTACATACAGTACCTACTAACCTGCCCTGGTCCCCCGGGGCTGACCTGTGCTGGCCGCTGGTCCCTACAGCACTGACCTGCGCTGGCTCCTACAGCACTGACCTGCCCTGGCTCCTACAGCACTGACCTGCGCTGGCCGCTGGCTGTTACAGCACTGACCTGCGCTGGCTCTGCCGGGACGAGGTGACCACCACGCCGGCCCGCGGTATGCTCTGCGGACTGTCCGGCGGGTACTGGAAGCTGGTGCGCGGCGTGTGGTGCGCCCCACTGTCCGACCGGCCCACCATCGGCGGCGCGCTGTTGGTGCTCAGACGCTTGTGGCCGGCCTTCGGCAGCAGCTGTAACGGCGACAAAGCAGGGAGGTAATGCCGGGATTAATCGAGACATTGAAAATGCACATTGTACAGTCATTCCTGTTAAAATGCATGTAAGCAGGTAAGCTCAGGCATTCCTTTCTGGCGAGAAATGAGCTGAAATAGGGAAATATATAAACGCACAAAATGACGTATTTATGTCTGCAAACATGACCCATTAAACCACATTGACCCGCTGTCCCAAACCACTATCCCACTCGCTCTGGCGAGCTTCGGCTGTGCGTCTGTCTGTCTGTTTGTCGGTCTGTCTGTCTGTCTGTCTGTCTGTCTATCTGCATATCTGTCTGTCTGTCTGTCTGTCTGTCTGTCTGTCTGTCTGTCTGTCTGTCTGTCTGTCTGTCTGTCTGTCTGTCTGTCTGTCTGTCTGTCTGTCTGTCTGTCTGTCTGTCTGTCTGTCTGTCTGTCTGTCTGTTTGTCTGTCTGTCTGTCTGTCTAACTGTCTCTCTGCTCGTCGCTCCGTCTACTGACCAGCTGCCCCTCGGAGGCCCGGCTGAAGGTGGAGCCTCGCGGCGTGCTGAGCGGGTCCCCGTACTCCGAGGCCGACCGAACTCCCGACACAGAGTCACTGAACGCCGACGAGCCGCGCGGAATTGACAGCGTGTCACTGCGGGAACGGCACAGGGTCACTGCTGGGCAGTCACTGCGGTACCGAGCCGCGCGGAATCGACAGCGTGTCACTGCGGAAGCGGGACAGAGTCACCGCTGAGCAGGGTCACTGCGGGACCGAGCCGCGCGGAACTGACAGCGTGTCACTGCGGGAGCGGGACAGGGTCACTAAACATAGTACGGGATACGAGCATCTGCGTGGGAGCATTTAAAACGTCATTGGGGAGAAAGGAGTAGTCATGCGAGAGAAGGCATACAATATTACTTCAGGGAACGCAATACAGTCAGTGAGGACGAGCGGATCAAAAATATTGCTAGTGAACGGAACAGTCGCTATAACACGCAGCAGATTCACGACGAAAACCACAGCACAGCAACCCACTGCCAGGGTACACTTATCGATACAACAATGGCAGTGGCATAGGCGAATGAAAGCGGCGTTCCAAGAAAGATGAATTTAAACGTACCAAAATAATATAATAAAACACAGTTATATAACGAGTACTCCGAAAAGGAATTCTCTGAAACGCCTGATCTATGGCAGCAGCTGCTCTCCATGGATCCGGTGCGGTGGGGATCCCCTGCTCTCGGAAAAACGGCTCTCACCCCGAGCCGGAGGTGTCACTCTCACCTGTAGCTGGGAGGGGAAGTGGCTCTCACCTGAAGCCGGAGGTGCGCGGGATGCTGAAGGCGTCGCTGCAGCTCATGGACGTGCTGCCGCGCGGTGTGAACGAGGGGTACGTTCGCTCCAGCCACGGCTCCTCCGACTCCAGTACGATGCTCTCCGATTTCTGGTACAGTTTCTGCAGAATCAGCACAGCCCTCTCACTCGCGCCACACATGCACGGCCGGAGGCTGATGTGCACCGGTATCATGTCAGAAAACGTGCCAAAAGAAGATACAAATGAGCGATTATTTTGATATAATGCAAAGCGGTTGCGTGCTCTTTTGAGGGACCAAGCGTGGTAAAACGCACCATGCTGATGTGCGTAAAATTCCGTCACATTACTTATAGGTAGGAGTAAGAGACATGATAGCCACACATAAGCTTCCGTCCGTGTCAGGTTAGGAAGTGAGAAGTGGTGCTTTTAACTGCGGGATAAGCTGACATGCGAATATTAAAAAGTTACAGCACATAGCAGTAACTTTTTTAACACAGCAAAGTGCAATGTAAGTTAGAAAAGACATCCCAGGACCCTAGTTTACGAGTTAACTTATATGTGTAATTGTGTACATTACAGAAGCAGGGGCAAGTGAATTGCTAAAATTAATTGCAAAATAATGCATTATTGATGGATCAACATTATCTATCAACATTAACATTAACTATTAGCAAGTTATATCCAGTTTGATTCAATAAATCAAGCAAATGACAAATATTCGTCATATTCAAAGGTATCATTCAAGCTAAATCAAAGAGAAGAAGAAAAGGAAAGACTGAAAAAGTCAAAAGGAGAACAAGAGAAGGAGAAGTAGAGTATACAGAAAAGATAACAATATCAATGCCGCATGAAAGGATCATTGGGAATGATCCCGGCACGATTGTGCTTCGGATCATTACTCCATACTGCAGAGTCGCAAAATAATAATATCACAAAACAAAAACATCTCTAGGCATAAAGTTATGGTTTGAGTCACCATGACGTCACAAAAAGCCAGACAAAAGCCAACAAAAGGGTCCAAAGGCCGCGGACGACCATGATGAACAGCTGTAACAAGCGGCCGCCGATGTCACGGCAGCTTGATCTCTACTCACCCGCTTTCTCCTGGTCTCCTGTGCGATCTCGGCCTCCGTTTTGGCCTTGTTCTCCTCGGACTTGAGCTCCTCTGCCCCGTCTCCCTCCGACCTCTCTCCCTCCGGCACGGCGTCCTCCTCCTCCTCCTCCTCCTTGATGACGTCATTCCTCTCCCGGAGCAGTCCGCCGGGCTCCTGCGGTGGTGGAAAGTGTAAACGGGAGGAGTATCGGGTAAACGTCCGGCTGACGGGATGAGTTACCACGTATACGCGTAGTTTCATTATTTGTCGATTGATGAGGGCATCCGTTATAAACGATGTCTAGCCCGCGCCCCACTGGGGGGGGGGCTATTTATAGCCCCCCCTCCCGTTTTTCTGCAATAACTTCCCAACCGCTTGATGTATCGACGCCAAACTTTCAGTACCTTAGGCTGCATCAATTTGACACCTTGTGTCAAAATTTGAACTTCGTACCTACTATAGGTCGGCCGGAAATGACGTCAGAGTGACGTCATGTTCGGCCGATTTCGACGCAAAACATTGAACCACGGCAATCGCTCCCAAGAGCTCAGTTTTTAAGCTAGATCCAATTTCTTTGCATGAGAAGACTCAGAATAGACTGCGCTATCAAACTGCTATCTCGGATTTTCGAAAGTTTGAAAATTTTGAAAATTGTATATAATAATATCCAAAATTTATATTGTTACATTTTTTTCAAAAAGTTTTTGACTTTTCGAAAAACCGGAATATATGTGATAGAACGCATTATTATGATTAGCTCTAGCAAGTTTTAGCTAAATATCTTCAAAAATGGCCAAGTTTTACGCATTATTGCAAAAAATTCACAATTATTAATTTTTCAAATCAATTTTTCAGCACGTATTTGACATTGTACGCCAATATAAATAGCACCATCGTGTTCCTGAGCTCAAACTGCATCCAATACACCTTTTTTGTTGAAAAATTTTAACTTCAAAATTTGACCTTTTTTGACCTGAAAGTGACCTAACATAAGCTAAATTCGACTCAAAATGACCTCGAATAACACAGACGACATCAAATTCGAAATCTCTGACCTAAATGGACCATAAAACATGTGTCACGTGACCGACGCATGATATAATATTTTCGTGACCTGTGATGACCTGACCTTGACCTGAAAATCAAAGTACAAGTTTGGTACCCTCAGGGTAACTAGAGCATCTGTTCGCGAGTGTGTGATCCAAAAATGAGCCTGATCTGAATTGTAAGACGGCGGCCAGAGCCCAAAACGTGATCAAGCCAAAATGCTAATAATTTTTACTTTGACCTGACCTGTGACGTCATCAGTGACCTCGAGGTCAATGAAATTAGGTTTCGCTCGACAGTTTTTCCGGGGCTATCAGACGCCGTTTGAATTTTGACGATCGGCCCAGTAGTTTCGGAGTTAGGAGGGGGGGCTATGAATAGCCCCCCCCCCCCAGTAGGGCGTGTTATACGCAGACCCCAGTGGGGCGCGGGCTAGCTATGCGTTGAAAATAACGTGTTTACCGGCTGGCTAAAAATAGATACGCTGTTAGAAAATATTCGAACATTATCCCCGGTTTAAACCTTGCTAATAAATGGGTAGTCTTATTTTACGGCGCTATAATATGGTTGGGTAGGAACATTCATCTCTTATACAGCATAAAAAAATAATCCTAAGTCAGCTCTGATCTCATACACATTACTCATTAACTGTGTTCTCGGAACCCATAACAGTGGCATTCGCTGAACGTTTCTGTGTAACACGAGCCATCTGATCAATAACGGCGCCCAAAGTTGTCTGACGCCGTGTCGCGGCCGTCGATATAGGCGTGGTCCACGGACGGTGTTTGCTCAGTGCAGGGTTCCGGTCACTACCAGCGGCCTAGCCACCGTGCCAGAGACCAGCTCCAGCCCTCAGGCCGGACACCTTTCTGACCAGCATACGAGACAGCTAGCCAGGGCTCTCACCAGAAACGGTGCACGGACAGGGTTCCTAATTCACACTAGCATCAGTGCTTGGCAAAAGATATCATCAGCTTTGGGACTTACGAGATCATTCGGGGCTGTCACCAGCCCCAGAGTTCATGGAAAGTTATCTGATCTATCCAACTCTGAAAAGCCCTGACAGAATTTTCACAACTTCTGGATTCAATTTCTTGTTCAGGGTTCCTACCAGCTCCGTAGGCCCGCCCAAGCTTCTCACCAGTTCCGGCGGCCCGGAGAGTGTGCGCTCCAGCTCCATGGGTCGGTCGGCCGCCGGCCGCCGGGTCAGGTCGGAATCGGTGGCGATCGGCACGGCGGCCACGTCGCGTCTCGTCTCCACCACCGTCTCCCACTGACTCTCCGGCAGGTCTGAGCGAGCCCCGCCGGCCTCTCCAGACGTCTGGGAGGTCACCGTGCGCTCACTCACCGTCCCTGGCGGGAGCAGAGGGGAGGGTCAGGCTGGGGTCACTGCTTCACACCCAGGAGGATGCGGGAGAGAGGGGAGGGTGAAGAGGCTGACGCAGTAATGGTCAGATAAACCCCAAACTACCTCCTGGTCCAATCCACCGCCTCACTCCTCGCATAACAGCTTCCGGGAACAACTGCTGACTTCATGTCTTACCATGACTCTAAAGCAGCCCGCGTACTCAAACGAACCCCGTGTCATCGTACCCCCGACCCCCGTGCTCAAAGTCCACACACCATGCCCCGGAACCGTGGAGGAAGTACGATGCGCTCGTAACACAAAACCCCGTTCCGCCGGCGGTAACCGGCCCGGTCCGTGACTGCTGTGACCTGTGACCGGCCGAGCGGAGCGGTCGCGTGATGCGTGGCCTGTCGTAAACCCAGCGACCCGGGCCCCGGGTGCAGACAAGTTGTTTGTTTGGTAGGCTTTCCGCCGTGATGACCTATCCACTCTCCGGGCAGGGAAGAGGTGAGGAGGCACGCGACTGGGAGAGGGAAATAAAGGAGATATGTGGAGGCCGAGTAGTTGATAGAGTCGAAAAGGAAGTCGTCGAAAAATATACAGAAAGCGCCATGGAAACATTAGGTAAACTGAATAAATCGTGAATGTTTAGATTTCAAATAACACAATGGAGTAAGACCAATATCACTATCGACAGACTCTCAGAAAGCCAGCACTGCCTGTCCACATTAGAAGAATCAGACAAGTCTAACCACTGCATGCTCCCCCCCCCCCCCCACACACACACCGGTTCGCGCCCGTTCCGCTTACCGACGAGAGTGTCGGTGCTGGAGTCGCTGCCGGCGCCGGTGCCGGCCGCCTGCGCGCTCGGCACGCTCAGGAACTGGCCGCCCTCCTGGTCTCGGTCGCGCAGCTCGACAAAGTGGCTCTGACTGCTGCAGTCGCTGCCGGAGGGCGACGGCTGCTCCTTGATCTGCTGGAGGCCGCCGACGGCCAGCGAGGAGGTGGCGGAGCTGACGGCCGCCTCCACGGCGCCGCGAGCCTCCTCGTCCACTGTCGGTGGAGGGGCAAAGAGGGGATGTTTGAGTAATTGTACTGGCTGCTGCCGGCAGAGGGACGGAAAGACTAGGAAAGGTATACCTGCTGCCGGGAACGGCATGAAAAGAGTGGGTTAGATGCAACCTGCAGCCGTCAGGGGATATCATAACCCAGTACCTTCTGGGTAGATAGCCCAGCAGGTAACTGCCGCCGGCAGCGGGACGGGCCGGCGTAGCTGGTTATATCTGGTGAGTTAGAATCCTATCTACCGTGGAGAGTACGGGAGAGCCGAGGGACGAGGAAGAGCAGAGGAGGATCCGATCAGTCGCGGTACTATCGGAACGCCCCTCTGGGTCAATACTTACCCGAGCACAGTTCTTTTAATCAAAGTTTGCCGAACAACTCGCTCTGGTATGCTGGTAGTTAGTGGTAACATTGTGGCTCAGCGGTTTATGAGCGACAGGCGGCGCGATCCTGGCACGGTTGGTGGTCCAAAATGTGCACACACGGCCGCTGCGCCACACACTGATAGCCGGACCGTTCTGCTGACCATGGGAGGACACCGGGCTATGTATATCACAGATATCGGGGCTTCCGCGAGCCTGTCAGCCGTCCGGCAGATCGACAATGCTATCGAATACAGCCATCGACATTTATCATTCTCTCCAGCATCAGCTCCGAATCCATGCCCAGCTTCAGTACCATCAGGCGTCCTGAGAGCGACCGTAATCCCCCCGTCAGTCCGACCGCAAATCTCGTTTCGGCGCACTCTGCGCTGCGTGTTTAGGCGGGTCCGCTATTCAATCCGTACGCTTCCATTAGGCGCTCTGTGAGCCTACGGCGGCCCCCCCTCCCAGTGTAGAGGGGGGGGGGTGAATCGATGAGACGCCACACACCAGGGAGCATAATAAGTACCACCCAGACTCGCCGCGTGAGAGGGCGACCGGTGGACGGGTCATCATCGCTCTGCGGCGGCTGGCCGCTCACTTGCAGTCCACTGTTTCCAATACCCAGTCCTAGTCCCAGTTCTTTGTCAGTCTCCGGTCTTCAGTCATCAGTCCCCAGTCCCAGTTTCCAGTTCCCAGTCCCCAGTCTCGGGTCGGGGAGATTACCGTTAGTTTTGGAGGACGATGTATTGCACCGGCAGATCCAGGGGACCGTGTCTAGGGGACACTGCACGCCATTTACCGTTGGTTCTGGAGGACGAGGTGCTGCGCCGATAGGTCCGGGGGGGGGGCGTGTCTAGGGGACACTGCGCGGCATTTACCGTTGGTTCTGGAGGATGAGGTACTGCGCCGATAGGTCCGGGGGGGGGCGTGTCTAGGGGACACTGCACGCCATTTACCGTTGGTTCTGGAGGACGATGTGCTGCGCCGATAGGTCCAGCGCCAGTGCTGTCCACGCAGCAGTGAGTCGAACACGTTGCCTTCGCTGCACGCCGATACACCTGACGAAAAAAAACATCAAATGATGTCATCAGGACTCAAAAGACCAGGTTATTATTAGGTAAAAAGCAGTGACGTCAAATTCGCTGGACCATCCACTGCTCATCATAGTACCCGCACGTCAATCTCGTCGTATGCTGGGAGAAGTGCATCCCGTCAAAAGTATCACAGACGTCACACAATCACATGACATCTATTTACGACGTCACAGGCTCGAATAGGCTGCCACGCGCCGTGTCGGCGCCGCCAGGTCCTCATCAGTCGGCCACACCTGCTCTGTTCAGGGCCGGCTGTGCGCGCTGCTAACGATCGATGCGTCTGTGCAGAGCGCGGTGTGTCGCCGGCCGTCCTCACATACACGACACACGGCCGGGCCGCTGACTGGTGTAACGGCCGCTCCCTGGGGCCGCTCGAGTACACCACACACCGCGGACGAGGGTCGGTGGTGTTTGAACACGGGACGGTAGCGACACCGATAGCAGCGGAACTCACGGGCACGGCGCTAAGCAAACAGGATGAGTTGAGAGACGCGGGCGCTGAATGGGTGGGACAACACCGTTCTGTTACAGCGCAACACTGCTACAGTTGCAGGTCAAACAGCGGGAACGGGGAAGGAGGCGGTGAACTGCCCAAATAAAGGTCCTAATTTTAGAGCGCATAGGTCCATTGACAGTGGAAATTGGATTTTCTCTGAACCCTCACATCGAGACATGATGGGAGCGTTTTACGCCCTCGGCTTCTGTTGCGAGGTGCACGCTTCTGAGTTACCGATCTATTCTACAGTCCCGAAGTGCAACATTTTGCGGGCGCATACGGCTCACGCCGCGACTCACAGGACACCGTGCTGGCCGTGGAGATGCGTCGGGACGACTCTCCGTGACCGATCCGCAGAGTCGAGCTGAGTGAGCTCTCCCGGCGCCGTGACTCGCTCGGCGGCGACGTGGGGTCTTCTCTGAAACGGACACACGTCACAGGGTTCACAGGACTGGTTTCCGTAATGAAGCTGCAACATGAGTCCCTTTTTTATCCTTCATGGCCTGGCGCATGTTTATATTAGTCCGCGCACAGACGGGGATATCAGGTCAGAGGGCATGAAAAACAAAGCGACATAACGAGAAGCAGCAAACGGTTTTCAGAAGCTCGCAAAAACGTCTCTAACAATAACTGGGTCGCTTGGTTAAATTTAAATGAACTCACAAGAGGTTTTCAAAAGCCCAATTTTACCATTTACAGGCTAATTTCCACGATATTTTACAAACGGCGGTTAAGCTTGTAAAGTAAGCGAGTCAGAAGGGTTGCAAAAAGAGCAAAGAATGCGTATTCCAACTCACGACTCGACTTTTTCTGCGGAGAAGTAGACGGTCTTGAGGGCGTTGAGCACGGTGACGCCGTCGGTGAAGACGCGGTACGTCAGCAGGAACGTGTTGAGGAAGTCGATGGAGAGGAAGCGCAGGTCGGTCAGCCTCTCCAGCAGCCGCTCCGGCGTGGCGTATCTGACCTGCGGTACCTGGGGTACGGGAGGGGCATGTCAGAGACACGGACAGCTGCAGTAGGTAAGTGAAGAGTGTCTCGGGTTGTGTAGAGAAGCGGCCTTTAATAGTTATTTATATGTGTTTCATAAGGTTGACTTATAATCATCAGCGCAGATGTAAATGATTCATCTAAGGCATCATAAGGAGGTTCAATTAGCCTGAAGTTCAATGTAAAGTGTGTGAAGAAATCCTATCATGAAGCACCTCATGAAGCAGTGTGGGAGGAGCCGTCTGTCGTCTCAGCGCACCCCTCACCTTGCACGAGTTGAGCGTCTTGGAGAAGCGGATGTCGATATCGTCCCTGAACAGCTTGGGGTCGTTCCTGATGGAGTGCGGCATCGTCACTGACGACGTGTCGGATACCGAGCTGCGAAACCAGTTGTTGAACTGCACGTTGTCCAGACACTGCCGAGGAAATGAAGTGAAACTCTGTTACCACTGATGTTGGCCATCATCGGTGGAAGATTAACTGCATGATGTGATATTCGCGATTTTTCAAAATAATTTACGTCATATTCCTCATAATTTACATCGCAGTGGCAGGTCCAATGTGTAGTAGCGTTCGGCACGGCATGCATACGGTCATTTCATTGATGATTGCGGCCCCCACCCTTTCATGTTTGTTTTATAAACCATGTGACGGCTAACAACGTTTATATTGATAAAATGCTGGATCTTCGATATTTGATGCCTAAAAGTTTCCCCTGCCGAGCATTGGTTTGATGACAGTGACACAATCGATCCAGGTTTCCAGGGTTCTCCAATGTAGTGCAGGGATATTTCCACCTGTGGTGCAGATCTACTATATTTAGATCTAACATCAACTTCAGGTGACCAGGTGTTCCAAATATTTGATTTAGAACCTTTTGCTGCGCCATATGGTTATATGTGCTTTGCTATTTTTAGTTAATTGAAATATGATTGGCGTATGTTCGTGTATGTAATAATGAAAGACTGCGTGCTCGAATAACTTGTTAATTCACTTTTTTACGAATTACTCAAGGCTATGATGACTATATGCACGTAACACTCCAGCTGAACTACGCTGGAGAAGGTCACTGTCATTTTGTGAACATCAGTTTTGGCCGTCCTCACACAGCAAATAGCGGCCACGTTCGCAGTTCTATTTTCGGCCCACGTCGTCGGCGCAAATCGGACGATCTGCGCCCGGTTATTGATGACCTTTCAAACACTCAATTCGTCTTCCGAAACCGATATACTTACTGCATGTTTAGCTCTGCAACTAGCTGATACCTCTGAGAAGCATGCAACATTGAACCTATTTGTTCAGGCATGAAATGCAGTGTATGCGACATGCGTCATGCCGAGATCAGATTAAGGTAAGTATTTAAATTCAAAAGAAGCAGTTCTTTCCCATTACAGCCACCAGAGTTGTTCGGACATGATGCCGCCCTTGATTCCATGTTGTAACTTGACGAATTAGGATCAGCGTGGGCAATATTTGCACTAACGTGAACGATTATTGAATTTGCGCCACGGCTGCTAAAGAAATGACTGTGTGGCCACAAACACTTTATAATTTTTTACAGTGGGTTCATTGTGCTTCATACATGCCTTCAGATATAATAAGACATATCGATTTCGTTCAAAAACTGCCGCTAGCAGCCTAACAGTGATGATGGGTAATACCCGTACCCGAGATACCTGCCAAATTTCAATTGAGCGTAAACATTGTTACGCAAGCGATTCATTCACAACGAGGCATTCAGAGAGAAGATTTCCATGAAATAGCCGGCGGAAAACATCCGGGAAAAACACAGCCCGGATGCCAGAGGTAGCATGAGATCAATCAGAGACGCAACAGCTGGTCGGGTTGCGGAACTGAGCAAAATGGTGGTGTTAGACTGTACCGCAGGACACGCTGGTAGTTAGACTGTGCCCCGGGACACGATGTCCTGCGTACCGCACCAGTGTGTCCTGCATACCGCAGGACATGCTGTAGTTAGACTGTACCGCAGGATACGGTGGTCCTTAGACTGTACCGCAGGACACGGTGTTACTTAGACTGTACGGCAGAACACGTTGGTACCTAGTTGTAATACAGGACACGGCGGTAGTTAGACTGTACCGCAGGACATGGCGGTAGATAGACTGTACCGCAGAACACGGTGGTGGTTAGACTGTACCGCAGAACACGGTGGTGGTTAGACTGTACCGCAGAATACGCTGGTAGTTAGACTGTACCGCAGGACACGTTGGCAGTTAGACTGTACCGCATTACACAGTGGTAGTTAGACCGTACCACAGGACACACTGGTAGTTAGGCTGTACCGCAGGACACGCTGGCAGTTAGACTGTACCACAGGACAAGGTGGCAGTTAGACTGTACCGCAGAACACGGAGATAGACTGAACCGCAGAACACGGAGATAGACTGTACCGCAGTGCCGACAGACCACCGCGCTCCCGCTGACCGGTTGACTTTGCTATTTGTTCTCAGTGATCTGGGCGATGTCACTGACTGACTGACCTCCCCGCTGACCTGGGTGGCCCCCTCAGTGACCGGCTGACCTCAGCGACCGGCTGACCTCTCCACCGATCTGAGCGACGTCACTGACTAGCTGACCTCCCCACTGACCTTGCTGGCCTCCCACTAGCTAAATGACCTTTCCACTAGCCGGGTGACCTCTGCAGTCTGTACTGACATGGGCGATGTCGCTAGCCAGCTGTGAGCTGACCTCCCACTGACCTGGGTGACCTCCACATTGACCTCGCTGACCTCCCACTAGCTAAGTGACCTTTCCACTAACCGGCTGACCTCCCACTGACCTGGGCGATGTCGCTAGCCAGCTGTGAGCTGACCGCTCCCACTGACCTGGGCGATGTCGCTGACCCAGGCAGCCTTCTCCTGAGCGGTGGGCGCCACCAGGTGCAGCACTAGAGGCGTGTCGCCCTTCCGTTCGACGATCAGTTTGAAGTCCAGTCCGATGTGCTCTCGGCGCAGCTGACCCACCGTCGAGTTGTCCGACAGGGAGGAGGTGGAGGAGGAGGTCTCCGAGTCTGCCCAAACGGCACACGGACAGGGACTGGTCAGATGGGTGAATGATTGGGCTATTTTTTGTTTTTAAATCGGCGTTCAGGAAACTGGAAAATGCAGACATTTATGCCTTAATAGTTTTAAATGTTTTAATCTTCACTCGATCGCTAACTTGGAAATTGTCATGTTCAGCAACAACATCAGGCCATCAATGTAATGCATGTTTAAATGTACAGGCATTACATTATACCCTAATCATTACGCTGCTTCATAGCAATTAACAAAAAGGACGCATGCTCAATAAACTTTGCTGGTGTTATGGTAAGTTTAAAATGGCGATATTGGAGTGTCTAGGCTATTAGCCGTAAACTGAGTAGCTACCTAACGTCCATGGTCCATAAAACGTATTGGACTTCATGCTGACGAGGTCAAAGGTTACGAAAAATGGTCCGATGTCGCGTCACCTTAGTGGTCGTCGGTGGGTTTATCGCACTTACCCAGGTCATCGTCGTTCTCCGAGGGGTCCTCAATGAGAATGGCATCAGCCAGGGAGACGCGGCCGATCCCATTGATCAAATGCAGGTGTCCACTGTTGGTTCTGAAAGGCAAAGCAATTCTACATTACCCTCTCGGCTTGACCACATGAAGACACTTCCAATTTTTGACTGGTACATTGGCCAACAAAAAGAAGAAGACTTGTCAGGATTTTTTTCTAGCCTGCACTTATTAGTTTTATCCCAAGTGTTTATCTGCAGTTTATCTGGCTTGTTGTACACATATTTACTTGCTGTTTATCTACGAACGTCTACACACCTGGTAGCCAGGATGAGGTGGTTACTGAAGAGAAAACACTGCCGAATGAGCTCCTTGTCCCTGTCACTTCTCTTGGAGAAGCCGTCCAGTGGACCTCGGCGGATTTTCGGCGTTTTGCGCTGCTGCTTCTCGGGGAGGATGTGCACAAGAGAACCTATGGGTGAGAACAACTGTGAGACCCCACCATATAACAAATGGCAGATAATACAGACCTGTGCGACAAATGTAATGCGAGAAGACAATCCGATCCGCCTGTGGGCCTGTGCCGTAAACCGCTGGGCTGGTCGATGGCTGACTGAACTACCTATTCACAAATCGATAGCGTTACAGTGTCCCCGGGTGTACCTAATATCGCCGCCGCTTTGTGTCGAACAGCTCAGTAACAACGGAGCAGCGACATGTTTGACCAAGCAGCTGGTAATAATGTATGGATGATGGTCGTAACTCATCACTACATCTGCCACGAAACATGGCCCCGTGGATTATTCATAGCCACTGACACACGGCGGACACTGCAGCCAGGATTCAAAGCGATAAATCACAATGCTGAGGAAGCAATACACCGCTAAAAACCCTAATTATTCCTCTGAAAGCTGTACAATGCAAAAGTTTATCAATAAATACATGCCGGGTAATTTTTCATTTGTTTCACTGCTCGCTGTGAATGTCAATGGTCATAATAATGTTCGTTGCAGAAACTAGGACGATTTTGGTTGTGATTCGAGCACATTTATCCACTGGTTTGTGCAGTGCACGGTCGCGCAATGCGCCGTCTGGTGCACTGCTCTTGGAACCAGTCCACAAAATCGATAGGCCGGCGACGAGGTCGCACCTCCAGCGGATGGATCCCCGGCCGGCCATCCTGTTAAAAAGACGACTTTTTTATTCCCCTGGCTGGCCAGAGTCACCGCCGAGATGAAGAAACTGGTTCCAGCGTAAAGAAAGGGTCAAACACGGAATGGGAGTGAGGGACTTCACCTTCATGCCATTCGACAGCAAACTTTGAGCCTTCTCAACACATTGATTCTGCATTTATTCGTACCTATAGCTTAGCAGGTGGCACAAAATGTTATTACTTCAAAGTACTCGAACCTACCTACCTATGTAATAATTACGAGCGAGCGAGCGCAGCGAGCGAAGTGAGTCTTTTCAATATAACGGAAAAATCTCAGTATAAGCGGCCCGGCCCGGCCCGGCCCGGCCCGGCCTGTAACGCTTTTGAAAGGCTTATATCTCAGCAAACCGCTGGACCGATTGGCCTGCGGTCTTTTTTGTTGGGTAGCCCCATCCCTTCTACCCCGTAATTGACTACTTTTGATACATCTCAGTGACCGTCGTGGCACGTGCCACGTGAAAAGTCAAGGGTGTTCAAGCTGTTTTGCAAAAGTAGTGATTTTGAGAGGCTCATATATCAGCAGCCGCTTGGGCGATTGACTTGCGGTAATTTTTGTAGGGTAACTGCATCCCTTCTACCAAAGGTCGGATACTCTTCATCTATGTGAGTGACCCCCACTGCACGTGCAAAATACAACAATAAGAGGTGTCAAATTTGTTCCCATTTCAGTAACTCGGTAATTACTGGGGCGATTTCGCTGAAACTTGACATACAGGTAGGCAACCACCAGGCAATGCATTCCCATGTGTTGCGGTTAGGGTGCTACTGCACGTGCGCACGTGCAGGGGGCGTTTCCAGATCTCGAGAACGGCTGGGCCGATTGCGCTCAAATTTGGTACACGGTTGGGGACCTGTTAGTAGGGTGCCGTGCAAAAGTCATTTTGGACCCCGTTTGCACGTGCGCACGTGCAGAATGCCGCTTCCAGATCTCAGGAACGGCTGGGCCGATTGCGTTCAAATTTGGTACACCGCTAGCGACCGGTTAGAAGGGTGCTTTGCACAAGCCCGTTGGAAGTACCCTCTCGCCCTTCTGCACGTGCAGGGCTCACTCTCTCGCTCGCTCGTCCTTCGCCCAAAAGGCGTTTTACTGGTTAATAAATATGGAAATAACTGCACAAGCACGCTCATACACAATCACATTAGCATAGGGCAACTCAGCACAGGCTCAATAGCTGTTGGGTTTCGCAGTGTTGTGCCAATGTGTAATAAGGCAAGAGTAATGGTCTATAATTAGGTATAGCCATGTCTCCACAATGTTTCACCATGCACAAGGTTTATACGTTCGATACACAGTGCCGGCGGCTGTTCTGGTGAGCTCGGCAAAAAGCCGGTGTGTTCGTTAGCGGAGGCCGGGGCGTCTGGCGTTACAGGTGGTCCGGTAATGGTGGCCGGCCGGGCCGACCGCGGGCCTGCAGACGCCCCCGCACCGGCCGCCGCGGGGCGAATGGGACAGCGCAGAGAGCCTGGAGAGCCAGGAGAGCCCGCGGCGGTCGGATGCGCTCCGTCCGGGCATCATTACCGCAGGAGAGCGACTGTCTGACGTATACGAACCACAACCAGGGCCAGAACCACGACTGGTTACCGCTAGAGAGCAGCTAACGGACATTCCCGAACAAGAGTCAGAACCGATACTGGTTATAGAAGGAGAACTGACACCGGGCATATCCGAACTACAAGCAGGACTAGACCTAAGACTTATGCCGATTTGTATGTTTCGAAACGTTATCCTTGCCGCAGCTTTCTTTCATGTAGAACTTTTGGGACTTTTGATTGTGTGACATTTTTAATATCTCATCATCAACTTACAGCCCAAGAAATCAACTCGACATTGCGTTATGGTACGGAGACAAGGCTGATTCAATAGTCTTAGCGTATGCTGCGCTCACGTAACGAACGAAATCCGGCATAAATCGGTACCAATGACGGTCCCAGGGGATATTTTTCGTCCTATAGAGAGAGAGAGAGAGAGAGAGAGAGAGAGAGAGAGAGAGAGAGAGAGAGAGAGAGAGAGAGAGAGAGAGAGAGAGAGAGAGAGAGAGAGAGAGAGAGTGAGAGAGAGAGAGAGAGAGAGAGAGAGAGAGAGAGAGAGAGAGAGAGAGAGAGAGAGAGAGAGAGAGAGAGAGAGAGAGAGAGAGAGAGAGAGAGAGAGAGAGAGAGAGAGAGAGAGAGAGAGAGAGATCATTGTATTAACAGACTCGAAGTCCAATAACATGGTTGGCTCGTACATGAGCAAGGATCACACGTCACTGAGATGACAGCTGACGGTCCCACATCCTTTTGTAGGGGGAATATGTATACAAATCACTACCGACAAATTGAGCAATTATACAGTTTTCCGACTTTTCGATGCGTTTAATAAAGCCATAGGCCGACTTCCTGAACATGATGTCAATATTGTCAATGCCTTCGCAGGCGTACATCGCTGATGCACTGGAAAACTTATCATACCCAAAAAATAGTCTAACCGCGTTGTTAAGACAAACCTTGAACTTACGAAACACAGAGACATTGTAAGCTCGCCACAAATGCACACAATATACATTCGCACAGTACGATGAAAAAAGATACCTTTTCACAGAGTACGAACACATTGCAAATTTTCGTAACAGAGAGTTCGTCCTACAGCAAAGCAAACGATATTGCTGTCGAATTTCTACATTATCTGATGAGTCATCAGACATTTGAAAACCGAGGTACCTATATTGGCTAACATAGCTTAGTGTTGAACCACACAAAACAAACTTGGGCAAGATCATGTTTTTAAAACATTTTGGTCGCAACGCCATGCACACAGTCTTTTTCGTATTGAAAATCACATCATGTTCTACCGAGAAACGTTCGCACGTGTCTAGCAGAGTTTGAAGTCCATAGGGAGTGGGTGACATTAGCACAACATCATCAGCGTAGGCCAAATGGTTCAGGCTTCCCAAATATCGGCATCCAACACCAGTTTTGTCGAGTTCATTGGATAACGAATCAATGTAAAGATTAAACAGAAAAGGAGATAATATGCCTCCCTGCCTTACCCCATTTGTAACGGTGAATCCGTCTGTAACACAGCTCCCCCACTGAATATGGAACAACTGTGAACGATACCACGCAACTAGTAATTTAACGATACTTAAGTCCATACCCCTACTCAAAAGCTTATCAAAAAGCTTCCAATGGTTGACCCTATCAAAGGCTTTACTCGCATCTAGGTAGCAAAGAAACACTGGGCTGTTGTTACGAAGGTAATAGTCAGAAATTTCTTTCACTGCATAGATAGCCATATCAGTTCCATGGCCACGCTTAAAGCCAAATTGGTGATCACTGCTCCGTAGACAATCCCTGCTTCGGTTCAAAATGATAACTTCAAATAATTTCGAAGCAACGCTAGCTAATGCAATGGGCCTGTAGTTATTTTTATCAGACAGGGAACCAGCCTTGTCTTTCAAGATAGGAACCAGAACAACCTTTGTGAAAGCACTAGGTAAATACCCATGCTGAAGCATCATTGAAAAACAGAGAGATAAATGAATCACACATGACTGACCGGCGAGCTTAAAGTGTTCTGCGCACAGGCCATCATGACCTGCACATGTACCAGACGTCAGTTCTGGTAGAGCATTTACAACTTCTTGCACCGAAATGGCTTTTGGCTCGATCAGCTCTGCATCAAGTCTTGACAGTACAGAATCTTTCAGGGTCTCACCAGTAACGGAATTTAGAATGCAGGAAAAGTGCTCTTTCCAGAGACCTGCGATACGATCAGACCCACTTACACCTCCCACCGTACATGACAGCTGTGGGGAAGGGTTCATCTTTTTCATTTCCTTCCAGAAAGAGGCACTATCACGACGATCCTTCATTAACTTATCCGCCAGGGATTTGGCCTGAAGATCCTTTTCATTCTTCACACACCATCGTAGTGAGTATTTAAAACGAGATTTGGCTAAGCGCAGCTGATCATAAATATAACCATCCCTAGGTTTACCAAGAGCTGCCCACAGACAGTAAATATCCCCCAGCGTTGAATGGGCTTTCTGGACATTTTAATTCCACCCTGGAATCACTTTTTGGCCGTTGCGAACGAATTTAGAAGATCGTATATAGGTATTTAGGTATTTAGGTAAGGTAGGTATTATAGTATAGTATTATAGTATTATAGTATTATAGTATTATTATAGGTACTATAGGTATTTAGGTAAGCAAACACCTTTCAATTTTAAATACTTTCGGCGGGAAATACAAAAAGGTTGAAGTGTAACTCACTTGAA